GTACGGCTGCTTTTTGCCTGTAGCCCTGCGTACAGTTGGTCGTGGAGAGAGAGGTCCTGCTGTTCCTCCTCCAGATCCAGGGTCTCATAGATCACCTTTAACAGGTCCTCCGTGTCTTCCACCTGAAAAAGGAACCTGTCTGCCTTTGGGCAGCAGCCTCAATCTCACCCTCCTCCGAGTCTGAGGTGTCCGACTGTTCGGCCTCTTCCCAGTCCCTTACCGGCGCTACCTTGTCAGCTTCCTCTTTTTCCCCCCTTGGGTGCCAGAAGTGCCCATGGTTGGGGCTCATCCTGGGCCTGGCCCCGGCCTCTGTTCCCTGAAGCTTTGAAATGTCTTGGACATTTCCTGTGTCATATTTTGTAGGAAATCTTTAAAAAAAGATCCAGACTCCTTCTTGATGAGCTTGTCTATGCACCCTGGCAGAGCTGCTTCCTCCAGGAGCTCGCCAGCTTCTTCCTAGAAGTGGCACACTTCTTTTTCTGCTCACAAGGAGCTTCTTTCTCCCCTCTATCCTCCTCCTGTGGGCCCATCTGGGGACAAGGAGATACATGCGTTCATGCGTCTGTAAAAACAACGCCTCCCCCCCTGTGCCACTGTGAAAGCTCCAGCCGTGGGCCTGGGGGGGGGAGAGGGGGGCTGTGTGTGCGTGTGGGGCCACCCAATCATCCCGGGAGGGGAGGGGAGGAGGGGGGGGGGGGGGAGGGAGGGAGGGGAGAGGAGGGGAGGGAGGGAGGGGGGGGGGGGGGGGAGGAGGGGGGCAAAAAAAAAAAGAGAGTTGCCAAAGGCCCTTACCTTACTGCAGGCCTCCCCGCTCCTGACAGATCTGCCTCCATGCTGCCGCAGACTCTGCCTCGGTGCGGCGGTTTTTTTTTTCAGGGGCTGGTGGGCTCCGCCCCCCCCCCTGCGATCCCCCCTCGCCGACCACCCTCTCACGGCCGCCGGTGGAGAAGCGGCCGTGGCACGGGTTCCTTCCACGGTCCGCCGCCCATTTCCAAGATGGCGGCGGCCGTTCCCTGCTCCTGCGCCGCCGGAAGTGACGACACCCGCCGGGCGCCCGGAAGTGACGTCGACGCCGATCGCAGCGTCCAGACCTCCGCAGCCGAGCCTCCTGGCCATGCTGCCGGGATCCCAGGAGCAGGTAAGACTTACCTGAAACCCCGCAGGGAAAGGCACCAATGCCTCGGTCGGCGGAGCGGGCTCTACCCCCCTGGAGAGCCCCGCTGGGACCATCTGGGGCCGACGCCCCCACCCTACAACGGACATTCCCCGAGTGGAAAACTGGCTGAAAAGGTCCCCCCCCTCACAAGGCCCCTGCCTCGCTTGGAGGAAGGGGGGGGCCTCAGCCACCCTCTGTACTCCGCCAGAGAGCCCAGATAAAACAAAAAAATGGGCGTAGCTCCTTCCTGGCCGGAGGAAACACTAAAAACTGGGGGCAATGGGAGAGAGGACGCCTATAAAAGGGGAAAAAAGGTGGAGCGGGTGTTTCCTGGGAGGAGCCCTATCTCTCAAGTGAGCTGTCCTAGAAGATGACTCGGGAAAATGTTATCATGTCTCCTGGGGCAGGGAGCGGGGGGAAGGAGTTGCTGCAGTTAGACACCCTGCTGGAGACACCCTGCAACCCGAAGAAATTAAAAATCACATGGGGTGGCTCCAAGAGGAGAAGAGAGGAAGGGGAAACTGGAGCATGGGAACTGAGATCGGAAACACAGAAGATGGAGGATTGTGCGATTGTCTGCATTGCCACGCTGAATAAGGAAGTCCAGAAAAATGACAGGATCAACCAGATATTTACTAGGAAAGAATTATCACAAAAAAAAACTAAATTTTTGATTATACTGACCTTTCATTTTTATTTTTTTTGTAAAGAAGAATTAAGAATATAGTTCTGCTTTTCAGCTGGCATTTGACTTTTTTAGGGCTTGTTTACGCTTGCTTCAAAATGTGGCATTGGACACGCTTTTTTAAAGCACTCTGAATGCCAATTAAAGCCCGTCACTAACTAAAATGGTTCCCTCACAGTCCTGTTCACACGTTGTCTTTGCTTCAAAATGATGTTTTTCTTAGTGCTTCGAAATATCTCCAAATCCTCCATAGAAGTCTGTGACAACACTCACTTGCAGCACTTGAAGCTTCGGAAGGGCTTTTATGCAGCATTAGCTTTGCTTTGGAGGTATGAGCCCAGGATACACTAGGAAACTAACAAGCAAATCGGAAAGTTGTCCCCAGCAGTCACTGTGTATGTATTCTGGGAGTGTCTGGTGCAGATGTCACATCTGGTGTGCAGTGTGAAGCAGCAGGAAGGTGAGTAGGCGGTAGAATGGAACCGAGCAACTAGCAGAGGGCACATGTGGTGTGCAACATGGGAACGCTATAGCAGAAGGTGAGCATGGACCAAAGAGAGAGGACTGAGCAGCAGAGCAAGAGAAACTAGCAGATGTCACACGTGGTGAGCAGCGTGGGAGCAATATAGCGGGAGGTGAGAGGGGACCAGAGAGAGGAGGATTAGCAAACCAGAGAATCAGCAGAGCTAGGGGTTGCTACTGAGCGGGGGATCAGCAGAGCTGAGGTTATTACTGAGCAGGTAATCAGAAAAGCTGCTGGTTACTACTGAGCGGGGGATCAGCGGAGCTGGGGGTTTACTACAGAGCGGGGGATCAGCGGAGCTGAAGGTTACTACTGAGCAGGGGATCAGCGGGGCTGGGGGTTACTACTGAGAAGGGGATCAACAGAGCTGGGGGACCAGAGCAAGAGAAACTAGCAGATGTCACAGGTGGTGAGCAGCATGGGAGCAATATAGCAGGAGATGAGCGGGGACCAGAGAGAGAGGAGGATTAGCAACCCAAAGAATCAGCAGAGCTGGGGGCTTCTACTGAGCCGGGGATCAGTAAAGCAGGGGGTAGCTACTGCGCTGGGTATTAGCAGAGCTGGGGGTTACCACTGAGCCAGGGATCAGCAGAGCTGGGGATTACTACTGAGCCGGGGGACCAGAGCAAGAGAAACTAGCAGATGTAACAGGTGGTAATCCGCATGGGAGCAATATGAGAGGGGACCAGAGAGAGGAGGATCAGCAGAGCTGGAGATTGCTACTGAGCCAGGGATCAGCAAAGGGGGGGGGGGGATCAGCAGAGCTGGGGGTTACTACTGAGTAGAGAATCAGCAGAGCTGAAGGTTACTACTGAGCTTGGGATCAGCAGAGCTGGGGATTACTATTGAGCAGGGGATCAGCAGAGCTGGGGGACTAGAGCAAGAGAAACTAGTAGATGTCACACATGGTGGGCAGTGTGGGAGGTAAGTGGAGACCAGAGAGAGAGGAGGATCAGTAAACCAGATGTCAGGGCTCCGGGTATGACCAGAGGTGTGTGGACTGACACAGGGAAACGCAGGCTTCAGATATAGTATAAACAATATAATTTATTTAAGACTAAACATAAACACAGTGCAAACAAACCAAACCAAAACCCCCAACAGATAACAAAAGAACAATACTAAGCGTAGTCGGACGGGCCGGGTCAGGAACAATCAGGCAGACAAGGTACCAAAGAAGCAGACTGGAGAGTGGTCAGGAATAGCAGAGGTCAGGACAGGCGGAGTTCAATCAGAGTCAGGGATCAAGCAGGATCAGACAGGAAGCAGAAAGAATGCAGGTACAGGGGCTCTTGGGAAAACATACACCAAGGCCCTGATCACAGGCCTGGCCATTCCTTATATGCACCTTCTGCAATCAGCCTCAGGTGTTTTGGCTGACTGCAGGAGTGAGCCTCTGGTTGCTGAGAGCACCCACTGGCCAGTCCTGATACTGCAACCCACAAGGCAGGTGAGTCCCACCACTATTGGCGAGTCCATTCCTGACACCAGAGAATCAGCAGAGCTGGGGGTTACTACTGAGCCGGGGATCAACAAGGCTGGGGGTTACTACGGAGTCGGGGATGAGCAGAGCTGGAGGTAGCTACTGAGCCAGGGATCAGCAAAGGGGGGTGGGGGGGATCAGCAGAGCTAGGGGTTACTACTGAGTAGGAAATCGGCAGAGCTGAAGGTTACTACTGAGCTTGGGATCAGCAGAGCTGGGGGTTACTATTGAGCAGGGGATCAGCAGAGCTGGGGGACCAGAGCAAGAGAAACTAGCAGATGTCACACATGGTGGGCAGCGTGGGAGGTAAGTGGAGACCAGAGAGAGAGGAGGATCAGTAAACCAGAGAATCAGCAGAGCTGCGGGTTACTACTGAGCCGGGGATCAGCAGAGCTGGGGGTTACTACTGAGTGGGGAATCAGTGGAGCTGGGGAATACTACTGAGCCAGGGTACTACTGGGCTCCTTTAAAACAAATAGAAAATCAGCACACACAGGGCAGATGTCACACATGGTGAGCAGCGTGGGAGGTAAGTGGAGACCAGAGAGGAGGATCAGTAAATCAGAGAATCAGCAGAGCTGGGGGTTACTTACTACTGAGCCGGGGATCAGCAGAGCTGGGGGTTACTACTGAGCCGGTGATCAGCAGAGCTGGGGGTTACTACTGAGCCGGTGATCAGCAGAGCTGGGGGTTACCACTGAGCCGGGGATCAGCAGAGCTGGGGGTTACTACTGAGCCGAGGATCAGCAGAGCTGGGGGTTACTACTGAGCCGAGGATCAGCAGAGCTGGGGGTTACTACTGAGCCGGGGATCAGCAGAGCTGGGGGTTACTACTGAGCCGGGGATCAGCAGAGCTGGGGGTTACTACTGAGCCGGGGATCAGCAGAGCTGGGGGTTTCTACTATGCCGGGAATCAGCAGAGCTGGGGGTTACTACTGGGCCCCTTTAAAACAAGTAAAAAATCAGCATACACAGGGCATTTGACAAACTTCATTAAAGCTTCAAAAAAGCATGTTGGCACTTTTAATGATCGTTAAAGTTGAAGCAAGTGTGAATGAGCCCTAAGAGATAATTCTTCCAAATTGTGAAGGAGATCTATTGTGCTACACAGAATATTGTATAAATACTAACCCCAGATCTTCTTCTCCTGCAGACCCCGCAATGAATGATGAAGCCATGCTCCGAGCCGCCATGAAAATGTCCTTGGATACAGGTGGGACAGGGCCGAGTCCCCAGGAAAAATGACCATTGGGCTGCGGCCCGTCTGTTTACACTGCCCTGCCTTGTTGTGCAGGTAGTAAGGATGTACATATTCAGTCTATCCTCTGGACCGGCGCCTGCTTGGGATCTATTTTGAAGCTTTTATGGGTGTCTTTTTAAAGGTGTCCGTGTGGCATTTTACTTCTCACAAGAAGATCATGTTGTCCTGCTTTTTTTTTTTTTTTTCTCGATCTCCGGATGTGTCTCTCCGCCATACAGAAAGTCCCGCTTCCCCCCCCGGCTGAACTTCACACTACGACCAAACAGAGCTTGCAGCACGGCCATTGCTTCTCTTCAAAGCCCATTCCATTTACATTACTGTGTCTTCTGATTGGGCAGCAAGTCTATGGGCCCCCCCCCCCGTGTCTGGCTGTCCTATTGGAAACTATTCTGGGGGATCTGTCACAAAGCTGCGTCAGAAGCCTCTAATGCAGTCGGCCTTTTTCCCAAGCGGCGTAGTAGTACGGGGGGCAGCTAAAATGCCTGGAAACTAGCGGCCTGCGGGCAGGAAGGCGGCTGCTTCCATCGGAGGCTTCGGTGACAGGTATTTAGCTTTGTGGCAGAAAGGTGCATCTGTTCTATAGCTATAATGTCGGTAAGAGAGGCAGACTCAGGACTTGGTTCTTACATGGAGGGGATTGGTATATTTTTTCATAACTGAGCTCCGGGAAGATATAAAAAGGCACAAATAATGCAGCTCTGTATTCATTATTAAATCATTAAATGTAAATATATATATATATTTTTTTTTTTTTTAAATGCAAGTGTAACGGAACCAGACCCCGACTGCACTAGGGTATTTCTGTTAGACTCCCGCTTCCCTGTCCGAACACTGATCCACAGACACCACCGCTGACCACGCAGGAAATAGACAGCAACAGACTCTTCTTAAGACAGGAAATGAACTGCTTTATTTTAACACAAACACAAGATATGTACACAGGGCGGGGAAATACAACCAGGAACAGGAAACACAGCAGGCCGTCCCACCAAGGGGAAGGGCTACAGGAAACACATCAGCAGGCCGTCCCATCAGGGGGAAGGGCTGCTGGAAACATCAGCAGGCCCTCCCATCAGGGGGAAGGGCTACAGGAAACGCCTCAGCAGGCTGTCCCATCAGGGGGAAGGGCTGCCGGAAACCCCCCACCAAACCAAGACACACAATAAAACAAAGGGATACACCACCTGGCAGTAGACAATACAGGAACACATACATCCCATAATAGTTTGCTGGCAAACAAGACACAATAGAACAGTGGAACAACCACTTGGCAGTAAACAATGAACAACCCCCCACACCCCACCTATACATGTCCACATAATTTCATGACAGAGCACCCTGTACCCCCTAACAGGCACAGGGTGCCTTAGACATAAGAGGGATTTGAGGAGCTGAGACAGGGGTTTCCCCACCCCCAAAAGTCACTCCCGTCACAGCAAGCAGTGGTAAGTACCTGAATTTGACCTGGCATCAGCCTCTTGCAGTGTCTGTGCAGCAGAGCTCGCAGTGGAAGAGGGAGAAGCAGCACACGCTGATAGCAGAGTGACAGATGAGCTCATCAGCCTGCTGCTTATGGTTTCGCAGACTGGGTCTCTGGGAAGGGGACCTGCAAGTGAAAGTGAAACTGCAGCAGAGCAAAATGTAGGTCCCCTTCGCCAATTTATAAGGTTGTGCTGTGTAACTGGATGAACAAAAACACATCGTTTTGTAGGTAAAACAAACTTTCTTTAGCTGTTTACCTAGAGTTTGGCTTTAATCCTTTCGCTGCCAGAGCAGTCTTTGCATTTTTTTTTTTTTTGCTTCTGGTTTTACATACTGGGTCTCTGGGAAGGGGACCTGCAAGTGAAAGTGAAACCGCAGCAGAGGAAAATTTAGGTCCCGTTTTGCCAATTTACAAGGCTGTGCTGTGTAACTGGATGAACAGTTTGGCTTTAATCCTTTTACTGCCAGAGCAGTCTTTGCATTTTTTTTGCTTCTGGTTTCACAGACTGGGTCTCTGAGAAGGGGACCTGCAAGTGAAAGTGAAACCACAGCAGAGAAAAATTTAGGTCTCTTTTGACAATTTGCAAGGCTGTGCTGTGTAACTGGATGAACAAAAACACATCGTTTTGTAGGTAAAACAAACTTTCTTTCGCGGTTTACCTAGAGTTCGGCTTTAATCCTTTCGCTGCCAGACCAGTCTTTGCTTTTTTTTTTTTTTGCACGTTTAAAAAAAATAATTTTTAGGCCTGAAGATTACAAAAAACCCTCTAACATTTATCTATTTTCTGAAAGCAGACACCCTGGAGCACGGGTATCAAACTGGCGGCCCTCCAGCTGTTGCCAAACTACAAGTCCCATGAGGCATTGCAAGATTGACAGTTACAAGCATGACTCCCAAAGGCAGAGGCATGATGGGACTTGTAGTTTTGCGACAGCTGGAGGGCCGTCCGTTTGACACCTACAGCGTACAGACCTGCCAGAAAAAGGGTTAATGTACCATATTTAAAGAGTTACTCCACTTTTGTTGAGGAAAAAAAAAAAATCAATCCTCTCTGGGTGATCTACATCTTGCATGGATTTTTAACAATCTTTGTTGCAGAGTTCTACCTGTTTCTGCTCTGGACTAATAATTCTTCATTAGATCATGTCTTGTGCAGGACTGAATCTGAACAGGAGCGACTAATTCATAACAAGCAACTGATGTGCTTTTAGGGTTCTGATGAGGAAAGCGGCAGGGTCTGCATCCCTTTAGAGGTCATTTAAAACTTTGGGAGTATCTCATCAAAAAGGAAATTTTTGTAGCAGAAGATGCCTAAAACCTGACTTGTATCTTAGTGCAGACATTTTGGGGGCCGTTCCGTACACCAGCTCTATGACGGAACACTTCCAGGTAGCCACATTACATTTAATTTAGAGAAGATGCAGCTGCAGGTTGAAAAAATTAGTTTTTTTTTTTAATAGCATTAACCCCTTCCTGCTCTCACTCCTGTCTCCCTTTAAATGGTTCTGAAGGCCCGGGAGGAGGAGGGGGGGGAATGTTGGGGCAGGAAGGATCTGCAATCATGTGTCCACTGTGATTGGCTGTCTCATTGGTCACATGATTGGGAAATGATCCATCCACCTACTGATCTAGACCAGTCTTTGACAGTCTGGTCTCTGGGCTGGGACCTCGCAGTCAGCAAGCGCTCAGCACAGAAACATTGGATTCTCAGCGATGCATTACTGCGACGTTTAGAGGTCAAAGCTTTTTACCGAATTTCCTTGGCCACGGCAGCACTGTTGAGGATTTTGGAATGACTGTGGGTACTGTACACTGATATGAGACATGTTAGAGGCAAGGATCAGACTGGGATCATTTCAGGATCATTTCCAGGGATGCGACACTGCTACAGAACCACATGGCAGGTGACCCGGGTTCCGCGAGGTGGTGGAGTGTAAGTGACAGTTGGTCTTCACCAGATTCCCCCAAAGAGGTGATGTAAACCCTAATGGTCCCTGGCTTTCTTTGCTGCAAACTGGCACAAGTTGTGGGTCTCAGGATCAAAGGTGGTGTTGGACATACGTGCTACGGTGCAGAGGCACTTGTTCACAAGTGGAGGATGAGAGTAATTTGATCCACGCAGGGGCCGTGGCAGGGAGCAGGCACAAGAGTAGTCAGATCCACGCAGAGGTCGAAGCAGGCAGCAGTAAAACCAGTCAGGTTGGGGCAGGCGGCAGACACGAGAGTAGCCAGGTCGGGGCAGGCGGCAGACACGAGAGTAGCCAGGTCGGGGCAGGCGGCAGACACGAGAGTAGCCAGGTCGAGGCAGGCGGCAGACACGAGAGTAGCCAGGTGGAGGCCGGCAGACACGAGAGTAGCCAGGAGGGCAGGCGGCAGACAGAGAGTAGCGAGAGTAGCACAGGTCGGTGGAGGCAGGCGGCAGACACGAGAGTAGGAGGCAGGCGGCAGGCACGAGAGTAGCCAGGTGGAGGCAGGCGGCAGACACGAGAGTAGCCAGGTGGAGGCAGGCGGCAGACACGAGAGTAGCCAGGTGGAGGCAGGCGGCAGATACGAGAGTAGCCAGGTGGAGGCAGGCGGCAGACACGAGAGTAGCCAGGTCGAGGCAGGCGGCAGACACGAGAGTAGCCAGGTGGAGGCAGGCGGCAGACACGAGAGTAGCCAGGTCGAGGCAGGCGGCAGACACGAGAGTAGCCAGGTGGAGGCAGGCGGCAGACACGAGAGTAGCCAGGTGGAGGCAGGCGGCAGACACGAGAGTAGCCAGGTCGAGGCCAGGTCGGGGCAGGCGGCAGACACGAGAGTAGCCAGGTCGGGGCCGGCAGACACGAGAGTAGCCAGGTCGGGGCAGGCGGCAGACACGAGAGTAGCCAGGTGGGGCAGGCGGCAGACACGAGAGTAGCCAGGGGGGGGCAGGCGGCAGACACGAGAGTAGCCAGGTGGGGGCAGGCCAGGTGGGGGGCAGGAGGCAGACAAGAGAGTAGCCAGGTCGGGGCAGGCGGCAGGAGAGTAGCCAGGTCGGGAGGCACACGAGAGTAGCCAGGTCGGGGCAGGCGGCAGACACGAGAGTAGCCAGGTGGGGGGCAGGCGGCAGACACGAGAGTAGCCAGGTGGGGGCAGGCAGGCGGCAGACACGAGAGTAGCCAGGTGGGGGGCAGGCGGCAGACAAGAGAGTAGCCAGGTCGGGGCAGGCGGCAGACACGAGAGTAGTCAGGTGGAGGGGCGGCAGACGTAAGAATAGTCAGGCATACAAGGCAGTCAAGACATGGCAGTAGCAGTCAGGTTTAGGGGCAGGGCAGCAGAGAGTAGTCAGGTCCAGGAAGGCAGCAGAGAGAGTTGTTAGTCCAGGTTGAGGCAGACAGCAGGAAAGAGACAAGTCGAGGAAGAGGTCGAGGCAGGCAGCAGACGAGAGAGTAGTCGGGGCCCGGGCAGAGGTTGAGTCAGGCGGCAGACAAGAGAATAATCAAGGCAGCTGCAGCATACAAGAGAGTAGTCAATTCAGGGCAGGAAAGAGAGAGGTCAGGTCCAGGAAGGCAGCAGACAAGAGTAATTGGGTCCAGCCAGAGGTCGAGGATGCCAGCAGGAAAGACAGGACAGGTCCAGCCAGAGGTTGAAGCAGGCAGCAAAAAAGAGAGTAGTCAGGTCAGGGAATCTGGATTAAAGGCAGTTGTATTACAGCAATCTAGCTGTAGGGTAGCTGGCAGAACATTTTAATACCTTCCTGGTCAGAAAACTTGCTCAGCATCATAAACCTGCGCCGATACACTCAGTTCCAGGTATCCAGAAAATTCCGGCAGCCTCGGGGATCCTGGAAATGCAAGTACCATAACAATCACAGTCCTGTGTGTATATAACTGGAACAGGAATAACATTTTCTAACATTGTAGAAAGGTGTCAGTGACTCCAGTCTTTGCCCTTGTGAAGAGTTACGTGTTCCGCTGGTATGTGAAGCTATCAGTGTGCTGGGTGCCTGATCCTCCGCTGGGTGCTGTGGTACCTCCTGCTGGCCTCTACATCACTATTAGGGCCTCTTCACTATAGAATGCAGTGTGGGAAAGCTGCATTCCTGTGTGGCATCACGCATCGCATTCCAATCGCACGACCCTTGTGACCTGCTGTGGGTGTCAGTGCAAAGTGAACACCTCAAACGCAGTGCGTTTCAAAAAGCAGCGCATGCAGTACTTTGGGTGAGGTGCGATTTCAGACCATTTGGCATTCCTGTGTGATACACATGCAGTTCCTAAACATGGTGATGATGTGGCAGCTGAGAATGAACCCTGACACTCAGCAGGGGACGTGCTATCATTGGCCTCATGGAGTCACTGCCTGGCAGGTTGAGTATTAAAACGGAACTTCAGTGCAAAGTTTATACCCTTTCACTCTGTAATTGAACAGACACAGTCTGCGCTGGGGTACTTCCGTTATAATACCGCTTCCCCGTCCGAAAACAGACCACAGCCGACCAAACAAGACTAGACGACACCAGTCTATCTGAACATGGAACACTTTATTTGAAACTCGAACTGGCTTTTCATACACTCAGGACAAACCCCCCCCCTCCCTGCATAGTGACACAGGGCGGGGCACTTACATTTAGCAACGAGACACACAGGTATTCACACTTCACACCAGCAGACAGTCCCATCAGGAGGGAGGGCTGCTGGAGACCCCCCCCACTAAGCTATTACACAAACACATACATCCCATAATAGTTTGCTCCCAAGCAAGACACACAATAGAACAATGGGATGCTACCACATGACAAACAATCAACAACCCCCCCACCCCAATATTAGGACAGATCACCCTGTACCCCTAACAGGCACAGGGTGACTTACACATAATAGGGATATGGGGAGCTGAGACAGGGGTCTCCCCACCTCTCCAGTTAGCTGGGTTCCATGGGCCCCCCACCCAAAGTGACTCCCGTCACACACTCCCCCTCCACCTTTTAGAAAGAAAAAAAAAAACACCCTATACTTACTTTTTTTCAAAGCCATCTTCTTGGTGGTCCAGTGATGTCACAGGAGCTTCCTCTTCTTTCACTGCAGGTAGCCGTATGCCTTCCTGCTGGACTAAGTATGCCATTACATGAGCGCTGCTTGGCCCTGGAGGACAGTGACCCCCCCCAACCTGTGTGATGATGTGCTGCTAGGGGTGTATATCAAAGACAGGCTATGTGCACAGGATATGGTGGAATAATGCTGTGCGTGCTCCATTAGCTGCAGGGGAGACATCAGGGGTCTAACACACCCTTGATGTCTCAAAGAGAACCTGACACTGTAAAAATATCACCCTTACATCAGGGTCCTCAGCAAAATCTACCTTACATCAGGGTCCCCCCCATACATCACAGACCCCCTTTCATCAGGGTCCTCTTCAGAGCCGCCCTCCCATACATCAGGATCCTCCATTTCATCATTGTCCCCATCAGAGCCCCCCCTTACATCAGTGTCCTCACAGTCTCCCACTACATTAGGGCAGGGGTGTAAAACTAAATTTCAGTTCAGAATTACGCTACGTGCAGAGAGCAGAGTTCAGAATTACGCTACGTGCAGAGAGCAGAGTTAAGGAGTGTGCTACATAAATACAGAATGCAAAGTTCAGGAGCGTGCTACAGAGTGCAGAGTTCAGGAGTGCACTACTCGCAGAGTTCAGGAGCGTGCTACATACAGAGTGCAGAGATCAGGAGTGCACTACTCGCAGAGTTCAGGAGCGCGCTACATACAGAGTGCAGAGTTCAGGAGTGCACTACTCGCAGAGTTCAGGAGCGTGCTACATACAGAGTGCAGAGATCAGGAGTGCACTACTCGCAGAGTTCAGGAGCGCGCTACATACAGAGTGCAGAGTTCAGGAGTGCACTACTCGCAGAGTTCAGGAGCGTGCTACATACAGAGTGCAGAGTTCAGGAGTGCACTACTCGCAGAGTTCAGGAGCGCGCTACATACAGAGTGCAGAGTTCAGGAGTGCACTACTCGCAGAGTTCAGGAGTGCGCTGCATACAGAGTGCAGAGATCAGGAGTGCACTACTCGCAGTAGTTCAGGAGCGCGCTGCATACAGAGTGCAGAGATCAGGAGTGCGCTACATAAATACAGAATACAAAGTTCAGAAGCGCACTACAGACAGAGTGCAGAGTTCAGGAGTGTGCTACATAGAGAGTACAGAGTTCAGAATTACGCTACGTGCAGAGTTCAGGAGTGCGCTACGTAAATACAGAATGCAAAGTTCAGGAGCACGCTACAGACATAGTGTGCAGAGTTCAGAAGTGTGCTACGTACATACAGAATGCAGAGTTCAGGATTGCGCTACAGACACAGTGCAGTGTTCGGTAGCGCGCTACGTACAGAGTGCAGTGTTCGGGAGCGTGCTACATACAGAGAGCAGAAGTTCAGGAGTGCAGAGTTCAGGAGTGTGCTACGTACAGAGTGCAGAATTCGGGAGTGAGCTACGTACAGAGTGCAGTGTTCGGGAGCGTGCTACGTACAGAGTGCAGGGTTCAGGAGTGCAGAGTTCAGGAGTGTGCTACGTACAGAGTGCAGGGTTCAGGAGTGCATTACATACAGAGTGCAGGGCTTAGGGGTAAAACCCTTCTTTGCGTCTCTCTCCCCTACCTGGCATGGCTCTAGTACCTTCCTGTGCCTTGCCGGGCAGGGAGATTGTTCTCTCAGATCTGTTCATTCTGGGAACCACTGAGAGCAAAACTGTATGTTGCTACCACAGAAGGCTTCTGTGTTTGCAAGTGACGGTGAGGAGTGGAGCGGAGGGTGAGAACCAGAGGTAACAGAATGGAGTTCCACCTGCTAAACTGGGTGTAAGGGCCACAAGAAAAGGCCTATTGGGCCAGATTTGGCCCATGGGCCTTGTGTTTGACATATGTGCATTAGGGTCCCCATCAAAGTCCCCCACCCCCCTTACAGCAGGATCCTCAGTCCCTCCTTACATCAGCTATCATCACCAGAGTCTCCTCTTACATTATGGTCCCCATCGGAGTTCCTCCTTACATCAGGTGTCATCATTATTTCTTCTTATTATACAGGATTTATATAGCGCCAACAGTTTGTACAGCGCTGTACAATGTGAGGGCAAACAGTACAGTTACAATACTATTCAATACAGGAGGAATCAGAGGGCCCTGGATCCTTAGAGCTTACAATCTAAAAGAGGAGGGTCAAGTCATACAAAAGTTAGTAACTGTGGGGGATGATGGAGAAAATAAAAGTACAGAGTATGAGATAATCGGACAGATTGGGGTAGGGAATTCCATAGGATGGGAGAGGCTCAGGAGAAGTCCTGGAGATGAGCATATGAGGAGGTTACAAGGGAGCTAGAGAGCAGAAGGTCTTGAGAGGAAGGAAGAGAGCGATTTGGTTTATATTTTGAGATGGGTAGTGATGTAGCTGGGGGCCGAGTTGTGGATGGCTTTGCAAGTTGTTAGCATTCTGAATTTTATTCATTGGGTGAGTGGAAGGCAGTGGAGGGATTGGCAGAGAGGAATGGAGGCCAGTGGAGGGATTGGCAGAGAGGAATGGAGGCCAGTGGAGGGATTGGCAGAGAGGAATGGAGGCCAGTGGTGGGATTGGCAGAGATGGGTGGAGGACACAATGGAGGCCAGTGGAGGGATTGGCAGAGAGGGATGGAGGCCAGTGGAGGGATTGGCGGAGAGGGATGGAGGACACTGAATGGAAGCCAGTGGAGGGATTGGCAGAGAGAGATGGAGGACACGGAATGGAAGCCAGTGGAGGGATTGGCAGAGAAGGATGGAGGCCAGTGGAGGGATTGATTGGCAGAAAGGGATGGAGGACACTGAATGGAAGCCAGTGGAGGGATTGGCAGAGAGGGATGGAGGCCAGTGGAGGGATTGGCAGAAAGGGATGGAGGACACAATGGAAGCCAGTGGAGGGATTGGCAGGGAGGGATGGAGGCCAGTGGAGGGATTGGCAGAGAGGGATGGAGGACACTGAATGGAAGCCAGTGGAGGGATTGGCAGAGAGGGGTGGCAGACATGGAATGACTGGTAAGGTGGAGGAGTCTGGCAGCAGCATTCATGATGGACTGTAAGGGGGGAAGACTATGTAAAGGTCAGCCAATGAGGAAGGAGTTGCCGTAGTCGAGCTGAGAGATGACCAGGGAGTGAATTAGGAGCTTTGTGGTGTCATTAGTTAGGAAGGGGCGTATTCTGGAGATGTTGCGAAGGTTGAGGTGGCATGATTTGGACAGGGATTGGATGTGGGTCCCAATGGACATTTCAGAGTCCATGATTACACCCAGCACCCGGGTGAGGGGAGGGTGGACTGATAGTTGAGCCATTGATCTTGACAGAGAAGTCAGAGGAAGAGGCACGTTGGGGGAAGAAATATTATGAAGTCAGTTTTGGATAGATTGCGTATGAGGAAATGGTGTGACATCCAGTCTATGTCCGTCAGTAAATCAGTGATCTGGGAGGAGACTGATGGGGTGAGCTGAGGGGTAGAGAGATAGATTTGGATGTCATCAGCATAGAAATGGTATTGGAAGCCATGGGAGGCTATCAGCTGACCCAGGGAGGAGGTGTAGATCGAGATTTGGAGTGGTCAAAGAAGAGAACTTTGGGAGACCCCCATAGAGAAAGGAAGAGGAGAGGCGGAAGTAGAATTGTGACACTGAAGGTGCGGTGGGATAGGTAGGAGAACCAAGGAAGAGCACAGTCACAGAGATCAAGGGAGTCAAGTTTTTTTTTTTTTTGAGGAGGGGGTGACCAACCATATCAAAGGCAGCTGAAGGGTCCAGAAGTAGGAGTACAGAATACAGAATAGTCCATTGGTTTTTGCCTGTTTGTGAGTTTTAGGAGAGAAGTTCCTGTGGAGTGTTATGGGCAAAAATCCAGAATGAAGGGAATCAAGATTATTTTTAATGAGGTGGTTACTTGGTTGGTTGTAGACCAGGCGTTCAAGGAGTTTGGAGACGAAGGGAAGCAAGGATCTGAGTCTCCTCTTACGTTTGAGTCCCCGTCAGTGTGTTCCCTTGCGCCAGGTGTCCCCATCAGAGGCCTCTCTTACATTAGTTGTCATCCGAGTGCCCCCTTAAATCAGGAGTCCCCTTATATTGGTTGTCCAAATCAAAGTGCCCTCTTACATGGATTATCCCCATCAGAATCCCCTCCCCCCCCCCCCCCCTTACATTGTCCTCGCAGTGCCCCGTTACATCAATTGTCCCATCAGACCATTTACATCAGCGTTCCATCAGCGTCCTTCCTTACATCAAGGTCAGAAGCCAACTGATCTGAACCCTCAAAACAATCAAGATATAAAATCTTGTAGCGGAATAGATGTGACCTGCAGGCCACAGTTAGGAGAACCCAGGATAGGTTATCAAACACCCATAACATGGAATGATAGCTCTCTAGCACACCCTGCTGGAGCAAGATTGAACAGCAAGTGGCAGAGAAAATACTCTGTGCTTAGAGGAGCAGTTCTGTTCGACTACTGATACCCCGCCCCCCTCCGTCTGGGGTCAGACATGACGGTGAAGACATTCCTGGAGATGCAGGCGACCCCGGTCAGGCGATGGGGGGGGGGGAGGCGACCCCGGTCAGGCGATGGGGGGGGGGGGGGGGGAGGCGACCCCGGTCAGGCGATGGGGGGGGGGGGGGGGAGGCGACCCCGGTCAGGCGATGGGGGGGGGGGGGGGGGGAGGCGACCCCGGTCAGGCGATGGGGGGGGGGGGGGGGAGGCGACCCCGTCAGGCGATGGGGGGGGGGGGGGAGGCGACCCCGGACAGGAGATGGGGGGGGCGACCCCGGACAGGAGATGGGGGGGGGGGAGGCGACCCCGGACAGGAGATGGGGGGGGGGGGGGGGGGGGGGGGGGGGGGGGGGGGGGGGCAAACCCCGGACAGGAGATGGGGGGAGGCGACCCCGGACAGGAGATGGGGGGGGGGGGGGCGACCCCGGACAGGTTTTGGGGGGAGGAGGTGACTCCCCAGTCATGTTCAGGGTCAGTGTGGGAGTATCAGCTAATCGGTGTCAGGTCCCCTTTAAGAAGCCGGTTGTCACGTGAAATTGTTATTGCTCAGCTGTCATCCTCGACCACGTGTCTGTTCCCCGGCTCCGCCCTTGGAGGACCTCGCGCCGTCCCGGCATACAGTGCGCTGCGGACACGTCACTCCGGTGCCACCATAGAGAGGAGAGTGTCATGGCAGCCGTCGAGTTGGCGGAGAGCGGCTCGGTGTCCGGGAAGTGAGCGGAGACCGGGGAGAGCCGCGCCGGGATATGAGGCCTGCTGGCCCCGGGGCGTCCTGTTGAAGCCTTGGACTTTCCTGAGGGCTCTGCCCGCCTAGCTGTGCACCCTCCCCGGGAGACCTCCAGACATGTCTTCCTGGCTGGGGGGGCTGGGCTCCGGCCTGGGCCAATCTCTGGGTCAGGTGGGGGGGAGCCTGTCCTCCCTGACCGGACATATCTCCAGCTTCACCAAAGACATGCTGCTGGAGGGGGCCGAGGAGACAGGTGAGATCCCTCCCTCACCCCATGCTGCTGGAGGGGGAGGAGACATCTGAGACCCCACCCCATATATACTGCTGGAGGGGGAGGAGACAGGTGAGACCCCTCCCCCACCCCAGATATACTGCTGGAGGGGGAGGGAGACAGGTGAGACCCCTCCCCCACCCCATATATACTGCTGGAGGGGGGAGGAGATAGCTGAGACCCCTCCCCCGCATATACACTGCTGGAGGGGGAGACCCCTCCCCCACCCCATGCTGCTGGAGGGGGGAGGAGACAGCTGAGACCCCTCCCCCACACCATATATACTGCTGGAGGCGGGAGGAGACAGGTGAGACCCCCTACCCCACCCTATGTACACTGCTGGAGGGGGGGGAGGAGACAGGTGAGACCCCTCCCTCATGCACACTGCTGGGGGGAGGAGACAGGTGAGACCCCTCCCCCATGTATACTGCTGGAGAGGGGAGGAGACAGGTGAGACCCCTACCGCCCATATATACCTCCCCAATATATACTGCTGGGGGAGGAGACAGATGATACCCCTCCCCCAACATATACCACCCTTCCTTCAAAATATTTAACTCCTGCCCCAACATATACTTCCCCTCCCCCCATATATACTGCTGGAGAGGGGGGGAGACAGGTGAGACCCCTCCCCCATATATACCTCCCCTTCCTCATATACAATATCTCCCAGAAGTGAGTCGTCCCCCCCCCCCCCCCCCCCCCCACATTTTTGTAAACATTTGATTCTATCTTTTCATGTGACAACACTGAAGAAATGACACGTTGCTACAATGTGACGTAGTCAGTGTACAGTTTGTATAACATGTAAATTTGCTGTCCCCTCAAAATAACTCAACACACCGCCATTAATGTCTAAACCGCTGGCAACAAAAGTGACTCCGCCCCTAAGTGACAAGGTCCACATTGGGCTCAAAGTGTCAATATTTTGTGTGGCCGCCATTATTTTCCAGCACTGCCTTAACCCTCTTGGGCATGGAGGTCACCAGAGCTTCACAGGTTGCCACTGGAGTCCTCTTCCTCCATGACGTCATCACGGAGCTGGTGGATGTTAGAGACCTTGCGCTCCTCCACCTTCCGTTTGAGGATGTCCCACAGATGCTCAATAGGGTTCAGGTCTGGAGACATGCTTGGCCAGTCCATCACCTTCACCCTCAGCTTCTTTAGCAAGGCAGTGGTGGTCTTGGAGGTGTGTTTGGGGTTGTTATGTTGGAATATTGCCCTGCGGCCCAGTCTGCGAAGGGAGGGGATCATGCTCTGCTTCAGTATGTCACAGTACATGTTGGCATTCATGGTTCCCTCAATGAACTGTAGCCCCCCAGTGCCGGCAGCACTCATGCAGCCCCAGACCATGACACTCCCACCACCATGGGGCCCCAGACCATGACACTCCTACCACCATGGGGCCCCAGACCATGACACTCCCACCACCATGCTTGACTGTAGGCAAGACACACTTGTCTTTGTACTCCTCACCTGGTTGCCGCCACACACGCTTGACACCATCTGAACCCAATCAGTTGATGTTGGTGTCATCAGACCACAGGAGATGGTTCCAGTAATCCATGTCCTTAGTCTGCTTGTCTTCAGCAAACTGTTTGCGGCTTTCTTGGTCATCATCTTTAGAAGAGGCTTCCTTCTGGGATGACAGCCATGCAGACCAATGTGATGCAGTGTGCGGCGTATGGTCTGAGCACTGACAGGCTGACCCCCCCACCCACCCCTTCACCCTCTGCAGCAATGCTGGCCCCACTGACAGGCTGACCCCCCCACCCCTTCATCCTCTGCAGCAATGCTGGCAGCACTCGTACGTCTATTTCCCAAAGACAACCTCTGGATATGACGCTGAGCACGTGCACTCAACTTCCTTGGTGGACCATGGCGAGGCCTGTTCTGAGTGGAACCTGTCCTGTTAGACCGCTGTATGGTCTTGGCCGCCGTGCTGCAGCTCAGTTTCAGGGTCTTGGCAATCTTCTTATAGCCTCGGCCATCTTTATGTAGAGCAACAATTCTTTATTTCAGATCCTCAAAGAGTTCTTTGCCATGAGGTGCCATGTTGAACTTCCAGTGACCAGTATGAGAGAGTGTGAGAGCGATAACACCAAATGTAACACCCCCCCGCTCACACCTGAGACCTTGTAACACCAACGAGTCACATGACCCCGGGGAGGGAAAATGGCTCATTGGGCCCAATTTGGACCTTGTCACTTAGGGGTGGAGTCACTTTTGTTGCCAGCGGTTTAGACATTAATGGCGGTGTGTTGAGTTATTTTGAGGGGGGACAGCAAATTTCCATGTTATACAAGCTGTACACTGACTACGTCACATTGTAGCAAAGTGTCATTTCTTCAGTGTTGTCACATGAAAAGAGAGAATCAAATATTTACACAAATGTGAGGGGGGGGGGGGGGACTCACTTCTGGGAGATACTGTATATTTACTGCTGGAGGAGGGAGAGACAGGTGAGACCCCCCCAATATATACTGCTGGAGGAGGGAGGAGACAGGTGAGACCCCTCCCCCATATATACCACCCCTCCCCCCATATACACTGCTGAAGGGGGGAGGAGACAGGTGAGACCCCCCCCATATATACTGCTGGAGGAGACAGGAGAGACCCCTCCCCCATATATACCACCCGTCCCCCCCATATACACTGCAGGAGGGGGAAGGAGACAGGTGAGACCCCCCCCTATATACTGCTGGAGGAGGGAGGTGACAAAACTGTTTGCAGTAACGAATTATAAAGTGAGATGGAGTTTGGCTTCAATTTGTTGGTGTATTTAAATCTGCTAGTTCATCTAACACACTCCCCTCCCCCTAGACTGACAATGCTGCCAATCTAAGGTGCCCCCCTGTGCTCCTTCATCCAGAGTAAGTGGGGGGCGCTCTAGTACAGGAGGTGTGTTACTGGCCAGATCACCAGGGGAAAACAGAGGGGAAAAAAGCCTAAAAAAAAGAAAACTAATGCAGCTGCCACATCTAATGATTGGGAAGCTGTAATGTATGACCTTGTTGGTTTTGGGTCTAATACCGCTTTGAACCTTCCTTAGTCCAGCGCTCTTCAATATTCAGTGTCTCCCGTCCTTCCTTCCACTCTTCCCGTAGTTGTTTGATCCTGTCTTCTCTGATCCTCCCCTTCCAGTGTCTGTGTTGTGACTCTCGGTGTGTTTTGTTGCAGAAGTCGGCGGCGAGGGACAATTATCCAAGTTCAGAGACATTGAGAGCCTCCAGGCTATGCAGAGGTCAGAGGTGAGTGATGTCACGTCTTTGATGTCGGATGATGTCATCGATCACATGTTCCTGACGCCGGTCGTGTCTCCTATACAGAATGAGCGGATGAAGAAGCTGTGTACGGAGCTGGAAGAGAAGCTGGAAGCGGCCGAGCTACAAGTGAAGCAGCAGAGCGCCGACTACAGAACCCGGCTGCAGCAAAAAGAGGTCGGAGCCTGCGCCATTCTAGATCCCGATAACTCGCGTCTTACAGTAGATTTCCGTTTTCGCAGCCAGATTAGGAGAACGCCTTCGTTATGTTTTGTTATTTGTTCTTCACATAGTATACAGTTGTGTCCAAAATTATTCAACCCCCACTGAAAATGAGTGTTTTGGCCAGTTTGACATTGCTTTTGATCATTCAGTCATCTTGCTTACATTTACATTAAAGAGGCACTTGTAGGTCAGACAAATATAACATAACAGTTATAATGAAATAACCACAAATGTCTTTTCTGTGCTCACAGCAGATTATCAGTTTTATTCAACCCCAAGTGACATTCAATCTTAGTACTTAGTACAGCATCCTTTTACAGTTATAACAGCTTTTAAACGTGAAGCATAGCTTGACACAAGTGTCTTGCAGCGATCTACGGGTATCTTCGCCCATTCTTCATGGGCAAAGGCCTCCAGTTCAGTCACATTCTTAGGCTTGCGCACTGCAACTGCTTTCTCTTTAAGTCCCACCAGAGGTTCTCAATCGGATTTTTAGTCTGGGTGACTGCGATGGCCACTCCAAAATGTTCCAGCCTTTCCTCTGCAACCATGCTCTAGTGGGACTTGGAGGTATGCTTGGGATCATTGTCCTGTTGAAAGGTCCAACGTCTCCCAAGCCTCAGGTGGTGTGACGGACTGCATCACGTTTCCATCCAATATCTCCTGGTACTGAAGAGAATTCATGGTACCTTGCACACCCTGAAGCTTCCCTGTACCTGCAGAAGCAAAACAGCCCCAAAGCATGATTGACCCTCCACCATGCTTCACAGTAGGCAAGGTGTTCTTTTTCATCATAGGCCTTGTTCTTCCTCCTCCAAACATAGCGTTGATCCATGGGCCCAAAACAGTTCTAATTTTGTGTTCATCAGTCCACAGAACACTATCCCACAACTTTTGTGGTTTGTCCACATGGCTTTTTTGGCATACTGCAGTCGACTCTTCTTATTCTTTGGAGACAGCAAGGGGGTACGCCTGGGAGTTTCTGGCACGGAGGCCTTCATTACGCAGTGTGCGTCTTATTGTCTGGGCTGAAACTTCTGTACCCACATCTGACAAATCTTTTTCTCAGTTCCTCAGCAGTCACACGGGGACTTCTCTCCACTCTACGCTTCAGGTAGCGCACAGCAGTCGAAGTCAGCATCTTCTTTCTGCCACGACCAGGTAGCGTTTCAACAGTGCCCTTTGCCTTGAATTTGCGAATGATGCTTCCTAAGGTGTCTCTTGGTATGTTTAACATCTTTGCAATCTTCTTATAGCCATTGCCCTTCCTGTGAAGAGAAATCACCTCTTCTCTTGTCTTCCTGGACCATTCTCTTGCCTTCACCATGTTTGTAACCACACCAGTAAATGTCTAGAAGGAGCTGAGTATCACAGTCATTTTAAAGCTGCCTAATTGGTGCTTATTATGCTTGATTGCTGCTCGGTGACATCCACAGGTGTTTTCAATACCTGATGTGAAAGCACCTGTATGATACCTCTGTTCTTCAGAGTGGTAGTCTTTAAGGGGTTGAATAATTGTGGCAATGAAGAAACCACATAAGAACCATTTTACTACTGTATTACATAAACAATTGATGTCAATTTTAGTTGCATTTGGGTAGTTTACAACGTCCTTGTAGGATTTGATTCTGAATACAATTCCAAATGTACACTATAGTCCCTAAACCCTTTACAGCATTGGGGTTGAATAATTTTGGACACAACTGTAGCTATATGAAAAGAGATGACCGATTGTGTATTTAGTTGCGCTTTCCTGAATTTGGCAAAACCGAAGTGCTACTCAGAGAAAGGCTAGAGAGTTGTGTGCTGACAATTAACCCTGTCTGTGCTGGCAGAGCTCATTATCCATTGCAAAGAAGATTTCAGAGCGAGCGCCCAAGTTTCTTTCCAGATTCTGGCTCCGCTCCCCGTTTCTGCCGCTATTATACAATTGCACAAAAGTACCTTTTTTACATTTTTATTTAATTTTTTTTTTAGTGGTTCTAAAGGGAAAACTTTTTTTTTTTTTTTTTTTATTTTTTTTATTTACATTAAAGTGTCACTAAACCCCCCACAGTACAATCAGTCTGTAGATGCAGTAAAACATGCTTGTTATACTCACTGTGGGACCTAAGGGGGTAATCCTCTGCATTGTGTAAAAAGGATGTTTGATCCTGTCTTCTCTGATTCTCCGCTTCCCAGTGTCCCCCTCATATCTCCTGATGAGGCATACTGTGTGGAGTCATTCTACACATGTTCAGTTTGGTGTTATTGCTATAGAGGTTTTTTTTTTTCCTTGGAGAGTGCATGTGACCAGCACAGGTGCCAATCAGCACTGTCCAGACAGAGGTCAGGGGTTCTGCATCCTCTTAGAGCAGAATGAAAACTCCTCCTACAAGCTTTAACCAGTGCTCTGATAGAAGTCACAAGACTGCTATATACTGCTGATGAGAAAAGATATTTAGCAGTTTATATTTACTAAAATAATTGCTTTTCCATGTTGTGTGTATTGTGGGAGACCAGATATAGTGAATGGGGGGTCCGTGGAGAGTTAATATAGTGAATGCAGGGTCCGGGGAGAGCGGATATAGGAAATGCGGGGTCTGGGGGAGAGCGGATATAGAGAATGCGGGGTCCGGGGAGCGCGGTATATAGGAATGCGGGGTCCGGGGAGAGCGGATATAGGGAATGCGGGGTCCGGGGAGAGCGGATATAGTGAATGCGGGGGTCTGGGATAGAGCGGATATAGTGAATGCGGGGTCCGGGGAGAGCGGATATAGTGAATGCCGGGTCCGGGGAGAGCGGATATAGTGAATGCGGGGTCCGGGGAGAGCGGATATAGTGAATGCGGGGTCCGGGAGAGCGGTTTTTTATATAGTGAATGCGGGGTCCGGGGCCTGAGCGGATATAGTGAATGCAGGGTCCGGGGAGAGCGGATATAGTGAATGCGGGGTCCGGGGAGAGCGGATATAGTGAATGCGGGGTCCGGGGAGACCGGATATAGTGAATGCCGGGTCGGGGGGAGAGCGGATATAGTGAATGCGGGGTCCGGGGAGAGCGGATATAGTGAAATGCGGGGTCCGGGGAGAGCGGATATAGTGAATGCGGGGTCCGGGGAGACCGGATATAGTGAATGCGGGGGGGAGGTAGCGGGATATAGCCGGGGAGACGGATATAGTGAATGCCGGGTCCGGGGAGAGCGGATATAGCGAATGCGGGGTCCGGGGAGAGTTGATACAGTGAATGCGGGGTCCGGGGAGACCGGATATAGCGAATGCCGGGTCCGGGGAGACCGGATATAGTGAATGCGGGGTCCGGGGGAGAGACCGGATATAGTGAAATGCCGGGTCCGGGGAGAGCGATATATAGTGAATGCGGGGTCCGGGGAGAGGCGGATATAGTGAATGCAGGGTCCGGGGAGAGCGGGATATAGTGAATGCGGGGTCCGGGGAGAGGCGGATATAGTGAATGCGGGGTTCTGGGGAGAGCGGATATAGTGAATGCGGGGGTCGGGTGAGGGTTAGAGTCACCAGATATAGTGAATGCGGGGTTCCGGGGAGAGCGGATATAGTGAATGCGGGGTCCGGGGAGAGCGGATATAGTGAATGCGGGGTCCGGGGAGAGCGGATATAGCAAATGCGGGGTCCGGGGAGAGCGGATATAGTGAATGCCGGGTCCGGGGAGAGCGGATATATTGAATGCCGGGTCCGGGGAGAGCGGATATTAGTGAATGCCGGGTCCGGGATCAGAGAGCGGATATAGTGAATGCCGGGTCCGGGGAGAGCGGATATAGTGAATGCGGGGGTCCGGGGAGACCGGATATAGTTAATGCATTATGGTACAAAAAAAAAAAAAAGTGTGGCCCTTTGCTATGCACTCCTCACACCTTCAGATACTTATCTGAGTCTTTGCATGTTTGTTCTGCCAACAACAAAAACTCCTTCTTCTATTTGGAAGATTTTTGCCTGTGTCTACACAAACCTGCAGCATTATCTAATTAAATGTCAATGTCAACAAGAATCTCTTCCATGGGCTTTGCTTTGTCTGGCAGATGAACTCATGAAATTTAGATCTGTGTTTACTGGACTCAAAGCGAAACTAAAGTCTCAGTTTTAAAAAAACAAAACTGTGAGCAGGCAGGCGCTTTGTAGCAGAAGAAACATGCAATGACTGTGAGTAGGCAGGTTTTACTTTACTGCAGAACAGACTTCTGTCTTCATCATTACAAATGATGTCCGTGGGACTTTTGGTGAGTTGCACCATAAAAGTGAATACCACATATGTTTTTAAAAAAAAAAAAATCACATCTTTTATTACTTCTAAATATAAGAAAAAATACAAAATAGCCAGGTAGTCAAGAAAAATAGAACATGTAAACATCAATATGTATTGCATTTTGGGACATAGATAATTTTGCAGCAATCAAGGAATACTTTCAACGTGTTTTGTGAACAACATTCACTTCCTCAGGAGTGGTGAGATCTAAATACATATCTGCGAAGAGACCATGTAAAATAAACAATGCTCACATACTCATACTTTGTGTTTATGTGAGTATCTTGTTTTTTATTATATAATACATTGTATACATACAGGATCCATTCTATAATACATTGTATACACACAGGATATATTATACAATACATTGTATACACACAGGATCCATTATATAATACATTGTATACATATAGGATCCATTCTATAATACATTGTATACATACAGGATTATATATTATATAATACATTGTATACATACAGGATACATTCTATAATACATTGTATACATACAGGAAACATTATATAATACATTGTATACATACAGGATCCATTATATAATACATTGTATACATACAGGATCCATTCTATAATACATTGTATACACACAGGATATATTATACAATACATTGTATACATACAGGATCCATTCTATAATACATTGTATACATATAGGATCCATTCTATAATACATTGTATACATACAGGATCCATTCTATAATACATTGTATACATACAGGATACATTCTATAATACATTGTATACATACAGGATACATTATATAATACATTGTATACATACAGGATATATTCTATAATACATTTTATACACACAGATACATTCTATAATACATTGTATACATACAGGAATACATTATATAATACATTGTATACATACAGGATACATTATATAATACATTGTATACATACAGGATATATTTATATAATACATTGTATACATACAGGATCCATTATATAAATACATTGTATACATACAGGATATATTATATTACATAATACATACATTGTATTATATAACATTTGTATAATACAGATAAAATTATATAATACATTGTATACATACATACATTATATATAAATTGTACACACAGGATCCATTCTATAATACATTGTATACATACAGGATCCATTCTATAATACATTGTATACATACAGGATCCATTATATAATACATTGTATACATACAGGACACATTATATAATACATTGTATACATTCAGGATTCATTCTATAATACATTGTATACATACAGGATATATTATATAATACATTGTAATACACACAGGATACATTGTATAATACATTGTATACATACAGGATATATTATATAATACATTGTATACATACAGGATACATTCTATAATACATTGTATACATACAGGATATATTATATAATACATTGTATACATACAGGATACATTCTATAATACATTGTATACATACAGGATAGATTATATAATACATTGTATACATACAGGATCCATTATATAATACATTGTATACATACAGGATCCATTATATAATACATTGTATACATACAGGATCCATTATATAATACATTTTATACATACAGGATACATTCAATAATACATTGTATACATACAGGATACATTCTATAATACATTGTATACATACAGGACACATTCTATAATACATTGTATACATACAGGATACATTCTATAATACATTGTATACATACAGGATCCATTATATAATACATTGTATATACATACAGGAAGATTATATAATACATTGTATACATACAGGATCCATTATATAATACATTTTATACATACAGGATACATTCTATAATACATTGTATACATACAGGTAATTATATAATACATTGTATACATACAGGATCCATTATATAATAATACATTTTATACATACAGGATACATTCTATAATACATTGTATACATGCAGGACACATTAATACATACAATATATACAGATTAATACATGCTGGACACATAATACATTGTATACATACAGGACACATATTATACAGTACATGCAGGATACATTATATTTTTCATTGTATACATGCATACATTATATAATACATTTTATCTTTCTCTCCTAGCTGGAGAGAAAGATGTTAACAAACGAGTGTAAAAAGAGAGGAAAAAGTAGCTAGATCGATCAAGGTTTGATCTAGGTCAGTCCCAGGATTAGGGTTAAGGTATGGGTCAAAGGTCAGGGTCAGTAAATTTTGGGTAGGATTAAAAATAAAAAATTTGAATTAGTGTCAGTGTGTTTTAGTTAGGATAGTAAAGCAAAATGCACACCATTGTTTCTGGGTCGTACTACGGGTACAAACAACTAACATACACATATGTGCTATCGCTGTGATTGTCAGGAACCGGAGAATTTATTTTAGGTTTTTCTTCGGTTGTAATTTATGATCATACCAAGAAATATACAGCTAAATTTAAAGAAAAAAAAAAAAAAAATTTATTGCTGTATGGGGTTTTTCTATAAAATTCATACCAGACCTGACCATATATATGATGGGGGGCAAACAGTTTTTCTTTTTTTTCATAATTTTTAATTGCCAGCATACTTTGTTTACATTCAGCTGTCAGCGAGGAACCTGCTGACAGCTGATGAGTCGTTCGTTGTTAAGGAAGCGGTGGCCGGCCTCCATAACAACCAGCTACTGTGTGATAAATGACTGCATGAAAATATATGTGGCAATTACCGCAATAACGATATTTTACCGCAGTCGTTATTTACCTGCTAAATTCTTAGTGAATTGAATTTGCATAAATTGTGTCTTCATACGTTACTTTACTGCCTTTTTAAAGCGTTATTTAACTCTTAGTGAATTGACCCGTTTATCTTGGAAAAAAAAAAAATCACGGTATAATTCACCTGGATACTCAAAGCAGTTGCAGTGATATGTACAGTTTTTACTAAGACATTTCAAAGTTGAAAAATTGTGTTCAGGCATTAACATTACTCTGTCACCAAGGGGTGAAGGCTCAATTCATGGAGCTAACCCTCCAGGATAAGTATACTTGTCCTGTGGAATTCCTGTAACATGGCTAAAATAAAGATCCTTATCCTTGAGACCTGGCATTACTGAATAGAGCCTTTTTAGTGATTTCAGCACACTTGGATGGGATAGCATTATCCATTCACTAACTGGCTTGTTGCCTAGACCCGCCCTTGTAGTCTAACCTACTAAGTGACATATCGGCATGGATGTCACTCCACTTCCTCAAACTCAATCTTTCGAAAACCGAGTTCTTACTCTTCCCTCCAGCCCGTGCCCCCCCCCCCCCCCGACTTCTCCATCAAGATCACTAACACAACCATCAGTCCCTCCCCTCATGCCGGGGTACTAGGTGTCATCCTAGACTCCCATCTGTCCTTTCAGCCCCAAATCCAATCACTGTCCAACTCTTGTAGACTTCACCTCCGCAACATCTCCAAGATACGTCCGTTCCTAACCTCGGAAACCACTAAGCAACTTGTCACTCCCCTTGTTATCTCTCGCCTTGACTGTTGTAACTCCCTCCTCATTGGCCGACCTCATCGCAGGCTATCCCCTCTTCAGTCTATCATGAATGCTGCTGCCAGACTCATCCACCTTACTAATCGTTCTGTATCTGCCACCCCTCTCTGCCAATCCCTCCACTGGCCTTCACTCAGTGTCCACCACCCCTCTCTGCCAATCCCTCCACTGGCCTCCAATCAGTGTCCTCCACCCCTCTCTGCCAATCCCTCCACTGGCCTCCACTCAGTGTCCACCACCCCTCTCTGCGAATCCCTCCACTGGCTTCCAATCAGTGTCCACTACCCCTCTCTGCCAATCCCTCCACTGGCCTCCACTCAGTGTCCTCCACCCCTCTCTGCCACTCCCTCCACTGGCCTCCACTCAGTGTCCTCCACCCCTCTCTGCCACTCCCTCCACTGGCCTCCATTCAGTGTCCAGCACCTCTCTCTGCCACTCCCTCCACTGGCCTCCACTCAGTGTCCTCCACCCCTCTCTGCCAATCCCTCCACTGGCCTCCACTCAGTGTCCTCCACCCCTCTCTGCCACTCCCTCCACTGGCCTCCATTCAGTGTCCAGCACCTCTCTCTGCCACTCCCTCCACTGGCCTCCACTCAGTGTCCTCCACCCCCTCTCTGCCAATCCCTGCACTGACCTCCATTCAGTGTCCTCCACCCCTCTCTGCCAATCCCTCCACTGGCCTCCACTCAGTGTCTAGCACCTCTCTCTGCCACTCCCTCCACTGGCCTCCACTCAGTGTCCTCCACCCCTCTCTGCCAATCCCTCCACTGGCTTCCCATCGCCTAACGAATAAAGTTCAAAACATTAACAATAACATATATAAAGCCATTTATAACTCCGCCCCAAATTACATCACCAATCTTGTCTCCAAATATCACCCAAACCGTCCTCTCCGCTCCTCGCATGACCTCCTACTCTTTAGCTCCCTTGTCTCCTCCTCCCATGCTCGTCTCCAGGACTTCCCCAATCCTCTGGAACTCTCTATCCCAATTTATCAGACTATCGCCTACTCTGCTCACTTTTAGGCGATCTCTGAAATCCGATCTCTTCAGGGAAGCCTATCCTGCCCTCAGCTAATAATGGAATCTTCTATTCCTCCTACTAGTCCATCCCCCACAGTTACTACCTTTTGTACCACTAGCCCCTCCCTCCTAGATTGTAAGCTCCCAGGATCAGGGTCCTCCTATCCCTCTTGTATTGAACTGTATTGTTGCTGTATTGTCTCCCGTTATATTGTAAATCTCTGAGCAAAGTGTTGGCGCCATAAATCCTGTATAATAATAATAATCTTTAGAGGAATTTCACATGCGTGTAGATTACCAAGGCTTGCTCTGATGTGTTCAGCTTGCCCACAGCCCAGTAGACTGGATTCATAAGAGTTTGTTATTCATATTCAGGTGGAAGTAAGTCATCTGAAAGCCAAGCTGAACTCGCTGCAGGATGAAGTACAGAAGTCGCAGGTCTCAGCGCAGCTGTCTAGCATCACTCTTCAAGCAGCCGACTCTCCGGCCTTCATGTCCAGTATCCCGCCTCCCTCCTCCAGCTTCCAGGGGGACGACATGGACTTTAGTGACGTCATCTGGTCTCAGCAGGAAATCAACAACCTCTCCAGTGAAGTGAAGCCAGGCTGCAGGCAGAGGTGACCCACTGGAAGCACGTGGCCCAGGTGAGACGCTTGATCTGATCTCATTGTGTGCAATAGAAAACTTTTTGCGTAGAGTGAAAAGTTTTTTCTTGTTCTTTTGCTCATTCCTTATCAGTGACTTCAATCGGTCTGTACCACAGAGCATTTACTGCTTCAGGATGGCGCATGCAGTCATGGCCAAAAATATTGGCTCCCCTGCATTTCTGTCAGATAACGCACCACTTTGCCCAGAAACTTCTTGCAGTTATAAATGTTTTAGCATTCTCCTGTTTGTTACGGAACTGACCCAGACTGCACTTGGGTACTTCCGCTAGAATACCGCTTCCCCGTCCGAACACCAACCACAGACACCACAGCCGACCATAGAGGACACCAATTTTGAAGTAATCCAGAAGTAGACTAGTTTATTTGAACACAGATACAAGATATATACACTCAGGGTGCAATCCCCCCTCCCCCTGCATAATGACATTGCGGGGCAATCTACATTTAGTAACGAGACACACAGGTATTCAAACTTCACACCAGCAGACAATCCCATCAGGAGGGAGGGCTGCTGGAGACACCCTCCCCCACTAAGCTAATACACATACAAGAAAAAGTATGTGAACCCCGTGGGATTACGTGGAGTTTTGCATGAATTGGGCATAAAATGTGCTCTGAACATCCATATTGTCATCACCTGGTCATGGATACGGGGGAGTTTAACGACAAATTACAGGAGCATCACAAACTTGGAATGCTACTACAGGAAACGTTTCGTTGAGTTTATTGCTGCCAAAGGAGGGTCAACCAGTTATTAAGTCCAAAGGTTCACATACTTTTTCCTCCCTGCGCTGTGAATGCTTACATGTTATGTGCAATTAAACCATGCAACATCTAATGTTTGTGTAGTATTATGTTCAGCAGACTGTGTTCTTCTATTGTTGTGACTTAGATGACGTTCAGAGCACATTTTATGCCCAATTCATGCAAAACTCCACGTAATCCCAAGGGGTTCACATACTTTTTCTTGCAACTGTAGACACATACATCCCATAATAGTTTGCTCCCAAGCAAGACACACAATAGTATAATGGGATGCAACCACATGAGATAAACAATCAACAACCCCCCACCCCAATATTAGGACAGATCACCCTGTACCCCTAACAGGCACAGGGTGATTACACATAAGAGGGATATGGGGAGCTGAGACAGGGGTCTCCTCACCTCTCCAAAGTGTGCTTGGTTCCATGGGCCCCCCACACAAAAGTGACTCCCGTCACAGTGTTTATTTCTTTAGTTTGTATCGGTATGACATAAAAAAAGTGGAGAAACGAAAAAGCCAAATCTGATACATTCCAGGCAAAACCCCAAAAATGGACTGGAGAAAATTATTGGCACTTTCCCAAAATGGTAATAAATAATAGCATTCCAAGTTTGTGATGCTCCTGTAATTTGTCGTTAAACTCCCCCGTATCCATGACCAGATGATGACAATATAGAAATCACACCGGCAACCAGTTAAAATGGTAAAAAAAAAATGGATTCCACCTTTCTGTTGTGTGTCTCTGTGTGCCGCATGGAGAAGAGAGAGAGCAGCAAAGAATTGTCTGAGGATCTGAGAACAAAAATTGTTTAAAAGCATGGACAATCTCAAGGAGACAAGTCTATCTCCAGAGATCCTAATGTTCCTGTGTCCACTGTGTGCAACATTGTCAAGAGCTTTACAGCCCATGGCACTGTAGCTGATCTCTCTGGACGTGGACAAAAGAGAAAAATTGATCAAAGATTGCAACGAAGGACTGTCAAGGAACCTCAAGCAACTTCCAGACAAATTCAAGCTGACCTTCAGGCGCAGGGTACAACGGTGTCCACTCACACTATACGTCGCCATCGGAGTGAAAAGGGACGCTATGGTAGGAGACCCAGGAGGACCCCACTGCTGACACAGAAATATGGGAGGAGACCCAGGAGGACCCCACTGCTGACACAGAAATATGGGAGGAGACCCAGGAGGAACCCACTGATGACACATAAATATGGGAGGAGACCCAGGAGGACCCCACCGCTGACACAGAAATATGGTAGGAGAGCCAGGAGGACCCCACAGCTGACACATAAATATGGTAGGAGACCCAGGAGGACCCCACTGCTGACACATAAATATGGTAGGAGACCCAGGAGGACCCCACTGCTGACACATAAATATGGGAGGAGACCCAGGAGGACCCCACTGCTGACACATAAATATGGGAGGAGACCCAGGAGGGACCCCACTGCTGACACATAAATATGGGAGGAGACCCAGGAGGCCCCCACTGCTGACACAGAAATATGGTAGGAGAGCCAGGAGGACCCCACTGCTGACGCAGAAATATGGGAGGAGACCCAAGAGGACCCCACCGCTGACACAGAAATATGATGGGAGACCCAGGAGGACCCCACTGCTGACACAGAAATATGGTAGGAGACCAGGAGGACCCCACTGCTGACACAGAAATATGGGAGGAGACCCAGGAGGACCCCACTGCTGACACAGAAATATGGGAGGAGACCCAGGAGGACCCCACTGCTGACACAGAAATATGGGAGGAGACCCAGGAGGACCCCACTGCTGACACAGAAATATGGGAGGAGACCCAGGAGGACCCCACTGCTGACACACAAATATGGGAGGAGACCCAGGAGGACCCCACTGCTGACACACAAATATGGGAGGAGACCAGAAGGACCCCATTGCTGACCCAGGTCATGGGTCTTCCAGCAGGACAATGATCCAAAGCACACGTCAAAAAGCCCCCAGAAATGTCCAGATCTCCATCCCATAGAGCTCCTGTAGAGAGATCTCAGAACAGCAGTTGGGAAAAGGAACCCTTCCAATCTGAGAGACCCGGAGCAGTTGGTGAGAGAAGAGCGCTCCAAAATTCCAGTAGAGAGGTGGAAGAAACTCATTGATGGTGACAGGAAGCCATTGATTTCAGTTTTTATCCAAGGGTGTGCTACCAAATATTACATTGAGGGTGCCAATAATTGTGTCCAATCCATTTTTGGGGTTTTGCATGGAATGTGTTAGATTTGGTTTTTTGTTTCTCCTTTTTTTTTTTTTTTTTTTTTCTTTTTTTGGTTATACTAATACAAGTAAAAGCAATAAACTTGAGAATGTCGAAACGTTTGTAATTGCAACAATTTTCTGAGCGAAGTGGCACATTATCTGACAGAAAAACAGGGGGGAGGACAAGATTTTTGGCCATTACTGTACAGCGCACATGAGCATCAGTTTGTTTTTCCTGAATTGTTCTCATCGAGGTACATTTTTCTTTTCATTTTAGGTAACAAAGTCTCAAGGCACGCAGAGTCCTGACTCAAAGGAGAATGGAATGTTACAGAACACTGTCAAGGTACAAGAGGCAGCTCTTATGTGTTGTACAAGGCTGTGACATTGTTCAAATACTGTTCTGATTGTGAAATGAAATGGACACAGAAATACTGCAATATATACTGCAAAGCTCCACTTTTATTGGTGGGCCAAACCAGTTAAAACAAGCCATCACTGACCTTTTTAGCTGGGGGCACTGTGGAGGAATCGATCCTCAGGGTTTACTGCAGAAGCACAGAAGTTATTTAGGTAATTCTCTCAGTAGCTCAGCTCCCATGTTCCATCCCCAGAGCATTTGTGCTTTGTTTACATTAGCAATGTGAAAAGTCAGTGCTGGGAGGCATGAGCAGGTGGAGCTGAGCTGCTCAACCAATGTTGGAAGGGGAGCAGGATGGGCTGAGATGCTGAGTCACTACTGGGAAGGGGAAGCTGAGCTGTTGACCTACTGCTGGAAGTGAGGTAGGGTGAGCTGAGCTGCCACACCACTGCTGCCAGGAGCGCAGGGTGAGCTGAGCTGCCACACCACTGCTGCCAGGAGTGCAGGTTGAGCTGAGCTGCCACACCACTGCTGCCAGGAGCGCAGGGTGAGCTGAGCTGCCACACCACTGCTGCCAGGAGCGCAGGGTGAGCTGAGCTGCCACACCACTGCTGCCAGGAGCGCAGGGTGAGCTGAGCTGCCACACCACTGCTGCCAGGAGCGCGGGGTGAGCTGAGCTGCCACACCACTGCTGCCAGGGGTGCAGGGTGAGCTGAGCTGCCACACCACTGCTGCCAGGGGTGCAGGGTGAGCTGAGCTGCCAAACCACTGCTGCCAGGGGTGCATGGTGAGCTTAGCTGTCAAACCACTGCTGCCAGGGGTGCAGGGTGAGCTGAGCTGTCAAACCACAGCTGCCAGGGGTGCAGGGTGAGCTGAGCTGTCAAACCACTGCTGCTAGGGGTGCAGGGTGAGCTGAGCTGTCAAACCACTGCTGCCAGGGGTGCAGGGTGAGCTGAGCTGTCAAACCACTGCTGCCAGGTGTGCAGGGCGAGCTGAGCTGCCACACCACTGCTGCCAGGGGTGCAGGGTGAGCTGAGCTGCCACACCACTGCTGCCAGGGGTGCAGGGTGAGCTGAGCTGCCACACCACTGCTGCCAGGGGTGCAGGGTGAGCTGAGCTGTCAAACCACTGCTGGGACCATAGCAGGGGGAGTGGAGCTACTGAAGCACTGATGGGTGGGGGAAATAGAGGGAGCTGTGCTGCTGACTCTTTGCTTGAGGGGGAGCTAATTGGCTGCTGGGAGGGGAACAGGGGCAGCTGAGCTGCTGAATCACTTTTTGTAGAGAGGAGCAGGGGGAGCTGAGTAGCTTTTGGGAGGGGAGCAGGGGGAAGATGGGCTACTGAATCACAGTAGCGGGGGGAGCAGGGTGACCTGAGCTGCTGCATCACTACTGGGAAAGGGAAGTAGGGTGAGGTTAGCTGCTGAGAGAAAAACCTGCACTTCAGTGCTTCCGCTGTGAAATTTGAGGATGCATTGCTCCACAGTGCCTGCAGATACAGATATAATTGAGGCCTTGTTTTAATGTGCATTTACTACTTGTTAAGGCATATATGTATTGAGTGTCCATAGACTTGCCACAGACTCACTTAAAATCCCACCAAACAGCTGATTATCTATTGCCCCTTAGCAACCTATCACAGTCCTACCTGCCCAAGAGAAAAAAAAAAATTGCAGATTGAATGAATACAATTGTTCCTACATTGCAACGGAGGACATTCTCATTTCTAACACTTTACTGAACAAGGCCAAATATTCCTTTCTCTTTGTCACAGGACTTGAAGGAGAAGCTGAGCCGACAGATTGATGAACACCAGCATGAGCTCTCCGTCTTACAAGATGCCCATCGGCAGAAGCTGGCGGAGATCACACGGAGACACCGCGAGGAGTTGGGTGAATATGAAGAGCGGATCGAGGAACTGGAGGAGCAGATGAATGCAGGTCTTTGCTTGCTAATAATCTCCTAACCTACACTGATGGCGCTTATTTTGGAAGTAGTTCTGGTGCGCCCCCTCATGCCACACAATGGAATAAAGAAGTTGTAAAGCCCTTTTTTTTTTTTTTTAACCTCTTCCCATCCGGCCCATTGCTGATAAACGGGCAGATGGGAGCGCTGCCGATGCGGGTGGACGTTCTATACGTCCCCCGCATCCATTTCTTGAGAGTGCGCTGCGGTCGGTGCCTGCTGTGTCCTCCAGACACAACAGACCACCCATTGCTGTATGGGACCTCTGTGTGAGGTCCCGATTCATGTGATCACTGATTGGTCAATCAGTAATCACATGAACAGTAGTAAGCAAGATGTCACTTCCTGACATCATTGCTTACTACGTGTGAAATCTGTGAATGATCACAGAGGTCACATGGTACAGGGCCATTCACAACAGCCTTGTACCATGTGACAAGCTGTGACCAATCACAGCTCTCACAGTATTTCTCAATGGCTGCAAGAATGCAGCCAGACAGAAGGAAAAATGATTGCTTTTTCAGCCTTTATGGGTGTAAAAGCAATCTGTGTTAAAAAAAAAAAAAAAAAGAGAAAAAAAATCTTCATCACCCCCACATTTCCGTTGTGGTGTTAAAAATCCTACTTGCTGCATTTTTGGTTCATATTTGGTCAGTAAAAAGAAAAAACACCTCCCCACTGAGGCCTGGTTCACACCAATGTGTTTGTTAGAGCTTTTTGCAGATACGCACTACAGTCCATGTAACGTGGTTTCCTATGGAACACGTTCACATCTTTGATTTTTGCTGCATTTTTGGAAAGGGTCAGGGACGTTTTTTAAAAAAACGTTTTTTTTTGGTTCATGGAAAATGCTGCAGAAAAAAGAATGTAGTGCAGTCTTGACACATTTTTAATGAATCTCCCCAAACAAATTGGCAAAAAAAAAAACGTAAAAAAATTTTAAAACGCACTACAAAAGGCAGTGCAAAATGAACAGAACGCAAGCTGCAGCGGTGTTAACCAGGCCTGAAAGGCATTAAAAATGCAACATGTGTCTTTGAGTCACATGAAAAATGTACCCTAATGTGGTAAAATCACAGCAAAATTGTGCATGTATCAGCGGTCATTATCTGCACTTTTTTTTTTTTTTTTATTGGCAAAAGGCTACTTTCGGCTGCCGATAGATCACTACATCCCTGGTATAAATCTCTGGACTGGATAGACAGAAATACAATTCCTTGCCAGATAACATGGCCCCATATATGTATTTCATCTGTATATTTATCCATCCGCTCGGAGTTCTGCTTTAACTTTGTAGCAGTAGAGATTGAAAATACAATAATGAGGCCATCGACAGGCGAAAAACTAGCCTTTTTAAAAAAAAAAAAAAAAAAAAATGGTCGTTCAATCGGCCGATTTTTGTCCCATCTACGGCCAGCATTTTTACTTCTGTCCCTTGCAGAGAGCCATTACAGATACAGATCTTCTTATTTGGATACAAATGGATACATTGTTGCAACCGCAAGACTTTTCATATAAAATATAATAGCGGACTGGAATTCTTCTTCTTTCTTCTCTTTCTCTCCTTCTTCTTTCTCCTTCTTCTTTCTTCTTCTTCTTTCTTCTTCTTCTTTCTTCTTCTTCCTTCTTCTTCTTCTTCCTTCTTCTTTCTTCTTCTTCCTTCTTCTTCTTTCTTCTTCTTTCTTCTTCTTCTTTCTTCTTCTTTCTTCTTTCTTCTTCTTCTTTCTTCTTCTTCTTCTTCTTCTTCTTTCTTTCTTCTTCTTCCTTCTTCTTCTTTCTTCTTTCTTCTTCCTTCTTCTTCTTTCTTCTTCTTCTTCTTCCTTCTTCTTTCTTCCCTCTTCTTTCTTCTTCTTCTTCCTTCTTCTTTTTCCTTCTTCTTCTTCTTTCGTCTTCTTCATCTTCTTCTTCTTCTTCTTCTTTCTTCTTCTTCTTCTTCTTCTTCTTCTTCTTTCTTCTTCTTCTTCTTTCTTCTTCTTCTGCTTCTTCTTTTTCTTTTTCTTTATTCCTTCTTCTTTCTTTCTTCTTCTTCTTTCTTCTTCTTCTTTTTCTTTTTCTTTCTTCTTTTTCTTCTTCCCTCTTCTTCTTCTTCTTCTTCCTTCTTTCTTTCTTCTTTCTTCCTTCGTCTTCTTCTTTCTTCTTCTTCGTCTTTTCTTCTTCTTCCTTCTCTTCCTCTTCTTCTTCGTCTTCCTTCGTCTTCTTTCTTTTTCTTTCTTTTTCTTTCTTTTTTTCCTTTTTCTTTCTTCTTCTTTCTTCTTCTTCTCTTCTTCTTCTTCTTCTTTCTTCTTCTTCCTTCTTCTTCCTTCTTCTTCGTCTTCCTTCTTCTGCTTTCTTCTTCTTCTTCTTTCTCCTTATTCTTCTTCCTTCTTCCTTCTTCTTCTTTCTTCCTTCTTCTTCTTCCTTCTTCTTCTTCTCTTCTTCTTCTTTCTTCTTTTGCTTCTTCTTTTTCTGCTTCTACTTTTTCTTCCTTCTTCTTCCTTCTTCTTTCTTCTTTTTCTTCCTTCTTCCTCCTTCTTTCTTCTTCTTCTTCCTTCTTTTTCTTCTTCCTTTCTTCTTCTTTCTTCTTCTTTTCTTCTTCTTCTTTCTTCTTCTTTTCTTCTTCTTTCTTTCTTCTTCTTCTTTCTTCTTTCTTCTTTTCTTCTTCTTCTTCTCTTCCTTCTCTCATGCGCAGATTTTTTATTGCTAAAATGATCGGCCAATTTTGCCCATCGGCCGCGATTTTTCCAACTTGATAAAAAAAAGTGCCAAAACCCCGAAAAAAACGGCCGACCCATTAACCCACTAACGGTGCAAATATCGGACGTTTTTTTTTTTTTTTTGGCAGATTTTCGACCCGTCTATGGCCTGCATAAGCAGTTTTACATTTTTATGGCAGCTGTTTAACACTTGTTACATTTTTTTGTTTTGTTTCTTTGGCTCAGCAGGTGTGGATGGCACTTCTGACCAATCTAAAATGTTTGAACTCCAGAAAACCGTCCGCTCTCTAGAAGCAGAGAAAGCTGACCGCGCCCAGGAGATCAGGATTTGGAGCGTCGGCTGAGAGATCTGACGTCCGTTGTCTCTGCTGCGGATGAAGAGAAAATGTCTCTGCGGCAGGAGAAAGCCTCCGCGGAGAACGAGAGGAATCGGCTGGCTGCAGAGTGCGAGAGATTGCTCGCCGAGTTAACGCAGCTACAAACCGCGCACGAGTCTGATGGCAGGAGGGAAGTCACCAGCTTACAGGAAGAGGTCCTGCGGCTACAAGAAGCCCTAATTGGTATGAATGAGCCCTTTCTAGTTGTAGTGTATGGTGGCCCCAACTGTGGACTGCTCTTGCCTGATCCCTGTTGGTCTGTTAACCACCAAAAGAAAGCTTTATTTGTGGGGGAAAAAAATGGCAAAAATGTTATATGGGTACAGCGTTGCATGACTGTGCAATTGTCAGTTAACCACTTGCCCTCCAGAGGATTCCCCCCCCCCCTCTTCCTGACCAGGCCATTTTTTTGCGTTACGGCACGGCGTTCCCTTCACTGACAATTGCGCGGTCATGCAATGCTGCACCCAAATGAAATGTATGTCCTTTTTTTTTTTCCCCACGAATTGAGCTTTATTTCGGTGGTATTTGATCGCTTGTGCTTTTTTTTTTTTTTTTTTTTTTTTTTTTTTTTTTGCACTATGGAAGAAAAGAGAGACTGACAATTTTGAGAAAAAAAAACAATATTTTTGACTTTCTTGCTATTTAAACATGTCCAGTAAAAAAAGTTTTAAAAATCAAATTTCGTCAGAAATTCCGCTCCGTGTCTTCCCAATACGTGTAAATTGATTGGTTTATGCGAAAGTTATAGCGTTTACAAATGGCGGTATAGATACTGGAATTTATTGATTTATTTTATTTTTTTTTACTAGTAATGGCGGCGATCAGCGACTTATAGTGAGACTGTGGCGGGCATTCTGACACTGGGGGGGGGGGGAGCTGACTTGGTGTCACTGACATCCCCAGTGACACCAATACAGTGATCAGTACTAAACAAAAGCACCCGACGCTGTACTAATGGCACTGGGCAGGAAGGGGTTAACATGTAGGCTGATCAAAGGGTTACTTGTGTGCTGTTTAACTGTGTGCTGTGTCTGTGCGCTTCACTGTAAGAACACTGCTTTGGATGGCTGTGTGCACGAGCTGAAAGGGAGGAGAACTGTGTTTTGTTTTTTACAAACAGTTCTCTCCCCCCCCCCCCTCCAGAGATGGGGACCCGGTGATTGACAGCCGTGGCTGCGATTGGCAGCCCGGACATGCAAAGTCACGTGTATATATACATGATTTTGTACAACCCTGCCACCCTGCTATAGGGCAGTGGGAATGCAGTTAAAAGTAATGCCGTGCCATATCTAAAAAAAAAAAAGCGTGTGAAGATTAATGGTGCCGCTCCAAAGCTGGATTAACAGAACACGATCAACCCTCCGGCATAGGAATAAAGGGAGCAGCATCCTGGGTCCATTACAGTATCTAGAGCAGGGGTGTCCAGCTGTTGAAGTACTACAAGTCCCACCATGCCTCTACCTCTGGGTGTCTTGCATGCGGATGTCAGAGTCTTGCAAGGCCTCATGGGACTTGCTGTTCTTCAACACCTGGAGTGCCATAGTTTGGACACCCCTGATCTAGAGAAAGGTAAGGGTGAGCGGACGATGCCCAGAAGCAGCCCCAGGAGTCCGGCATGTTGAGTGTATAGCGTGGCCTCAGCAGTGCGCTAGCCACACCCTCTGATGCGTTTCGCCCCACCCATTGGGGCTTGGTCACAGAGGCGGCAGAGGGCGCGGGGCAATGGTGAATCAGTGCAGAGGCCACCCTATGCACTCCACATGCTGGACTCCTGTCACTGCTTGTGAGCGGCGTCCGCTCCCCCTTACCGTACTCGTATTGAGGTAGTTATACTGAGGTTGTGGTTGAGGCTACAACCATATTCCTAGTGCCGTTTTATTTTTCTCCTGGTGATTCTCTTTTGTGCAAAAGTGATCTGAGCGGCTGTATAGCCACCGGATCACTTTTATGAGTGGTGAAAGGGGGTCACCGCCTTTCCTGGGCTCTCTCATCCCAGCAGGGAGCCCAGAACTGATCCAACTGGCGGCATCCTGCAGCTCCTCTGTGTTGGTCAGTGATATAGCTGCAAGGGAGAAAAGGGAGTGAAGTCAGAACCCCCAGCTGTTGCATGCTCCCCTCTTCTCCCCTGCAGCCGTTGTTCATTGACATAAGGAAACACCTATTTTTAGTTCACTTTCTCAGGCAAGTATACACCTTGTGTGTTTTTTTTTTTTTTTTTCACACAGGTAGCAGGAAGGGGGAGGGGCGTTTTTAAGCATAGTTAGAGTTTAGGCTGGAGTTCCACTTTAACTCTTTTGAGCATTCAGCTTCATTGTGCAGGCAGGCTCTTGGCATTCCAGGTTGCTGCGTTGTTTTGTAAGAAATCCATGTATGCATGTGGAGGGAGAGAGAAGGTCAGGGATTGCTGAGCTCTGTAGTGCAGCAATGCTGTTTGGGATTTCAGTGCAGCAAAGGCAGCGTGTCGTCAGCGTGTTGTCAGCTCTAGCAGGAAGTTTGAAGCTTACAGGATTTTTTTTTTTTTTCTTCGCAGATCTGTGAGTATTTTTCTGTACTTGCAGCATTTTTAAAGGGATAAACCATCGGGGGGGGGGGGGGGGGGGAGGGGAGTGCAGGAAAACTGTATTGATTTATTTCTTGACGTGCTCTTCTTTTTTTTTTTCTTTTTTTTTTTTATTACATTTCAGATGCTGAAAAAGGGATGCGCAAAGAAGCACCAACAGATCAGGTAATGCTAATTCCTTAGGCCCATTAGTAACAGATTTAAATTGTATGAAGGGTTCCCTCCTACACCTATTTAAATCTGCCCTCTAATTGAAACGTGTGCGCGTTGTGCAGCCTTGCACGCATTTTGCTGTTGTGAAATCCAGCCTTAGGTGTGTGCTGTGGCTTACCTGCTTTTATCTTTTTGGAAAGGTGCTGCTGGGGGATACGGACCGCACTACTTCCTCCGGGGAGGCCGATGTCACCTGCGAGCAGCTGAGGAATGATCTAGAGGAGAGCCAGAGAAGGCTGGAAGAAAGCATCACAGAAAAGGAGTCCCTTACTACAGAACTAGAGGAACTGGACCGACAGAATCAAGAGGCCATGCAGGTGCTGGACAGGCAATTCCCACCTGCCCCCAAACCCCGCCCCCCATCCCCCACCCATATTGTCCCTCCTCCCCCAACCCTCTCTTCTCTCTGACCATCGCCCCCACTAAGGGCAGCTGTAGCAAAGCTTTTCATAGCAGCAATAATATCCTTCTCTCTTGTCACACTTGAGGATCTGCTCTCAAACATTTCGTGGTTTTTAAATCTGACCTCCAGCCTTCCCGTCAGTCCTGCACAGTTGTACCAGAGGATAGAACAGGAGGACGCTTCTAAGTGCAGTATATCCAGAATAATCTTCATGGTTAGAAACACAGACTCGTAGTTAAAACCGGCTCAATAAAATCGTCAGGGGGCGGAGGTTCAATCCACCATGCGAGAACCCGCTGTGCCGGCCAGCAGCTGCAGGGGAAGCTGAGGATCAGATGTCCAAGATGGCCGCCGCAAGTTCCAGGATCGCTGGAGCACACGCTGTCCAGAAGAACGCAACCGGAAATGACATGGGTTAGGAACGGGCGTGGAACGGTGACGCATTTCAGAGCATGCGCAGAGCTCCTTCTTCAAGACCCGATCGATCCTCAGCTCCCCCTGCGGCTGCTGGCCGGCACAGTGGGTTCTCGCAAGGTGGATTGAGGTTCTGCACTCTTGACGATTTTTTTTTTTTGAGTCGGTTTTAACTACGAGTTTGTAAGTGTTTCTAACTGTCATTATTAAAGATTATTCTGGATATACTGCACTTATAAGTGCTCTCCTGTTTTATCCTCTTCCCATTTACAGAGTTTGCTTCTACACCTAGAAGTGCTGCCCCGGTGCCTGTTGTCCAGTGCCTCCTCCATTCCCGGCTGACATCTCTCGGTCCACAGCCTCCTCTCATTCCCGGCTGACTTCTCTCGGTCCACAGCCTCCTCCATCCCCGCTGACATCTCTCGGTCCACAGCCTCCTCCATCCCCGGCTGACTTCTCTCGGTCCACAGCCTCCTCCATCCCCCGGCTGACTTCTCTCGGTCCACAGCCTCCTCCATCCCCGGCTGACATCTCTCGGTCCACACAGCCTCCTCCATTCCCGGCTGACTTCTCTCGGTCCACAGCCTCCTCCATCCCCGGCTGACATCTCTCGGTCCACAGCCTCCTCCATCCCCCCCCGGCTGACTTCATCTCTCGGTCCACAGCCCTCCTCCATCCCCGGCTGAAATCTCTCGGTCCACAGCCTCCTCCATCCCCGGCTGACATCTCTCGGTCCACAGCCTCCTCCATCCCCGGCTGACTTCTCTCGGTCCACACAGCCTCCTCCATCCCCGGCTGACTTCTCTCGGTCCACAGCCTCCTCCATCCCCGGCTGACATCTCTCGGTCCACAGCCTCCTCCATCCCCGGCTGACATCTCTTGGTCCACAGCCTCCTCCTCCATCCCCGGCTGACATCTCTCGGTCCACAGCCTCCTCCATCCCCGGCTGACATCTCTCGGTCCACAGCCTCCTCCATCCCCGGCTGACATCTCTCGGTCCACAGCCTCCTCCTTCCCCGGCTGACATCTCTCGGTCCACAGCCTCCTCCTTCCCCGGCTGACATCTCTCGGTCCACAGCCTCCTCCTTCCCTGGCTGACATCTCTCGGTCCACAGCCTCCTCCATCCCCGGCTGACATCTCTCGGTCCACAGCCTCCTCTATCCCCGGCTGACTTCTCTCGGTCCACAGCCTCCTCCATCCCCGGCTGACTTCTCTTGGTCCACAGCCTCCTCCATCCCCGGCTGACTTCTCTCGGTCCACAGCCTCCTCCATCCCCGGCTGACATCTCTCGGTCCACAGCCTCCTCCATCCCCGGCTGACATCTCTCGGTCCACAGCCTCCTCCTTCCCCGGCTGACATCTCTCGGTCCACAGCCTCCTCCATCCCCGGCTGACATCTCTCGGTCCACAGCCTCCTCTATCCCCGGCTGACTTCTCTCGGTCCACAGCCTCCTCCATCCCCGGCTGACTTCTCTTGGTCCACAGCCTCCTCCATCCCCGGCTGACTTCTCTCGGTCCACAGCCTCCTCCATCCCCGGCTGACATCTCTCGGTCCACAGCCTCCTCCATCCCCGGCTGACATCTCTCGGTCCACAGCCTCCTCCATCCCCGGCTGACATCTCTCGGTCCACAGCCTCCTCCATCCCCGACTGACTTCTCTCGGTCCACAGCCTCCTCCATCCCCGGCTGACTTCTCTCTGTCCACAGCCTCCTCCATTGAAGTTCCCTATACATATCCTTTGCACAGTCGTACCGACTCCTCTCCTGGACTGAAATTGCAGACTCTTATTTTCATTGTAGACTGTGAGCTTCTTACAGTGTGCAGTGACGTTGGCCCCAAAGAAGTTTTAGGCCTTAAAACAGCCCTTTTGATGACTTTGGGGTTTCCCCTTCTTTTCCAGCCTCTGAACGTACCCACAGAAATCCAATGGGAATTTAAACGCATAGGCCTGCCCAGGAGAGTTAGACCTGTGGGACTGGATACAAACAAACACCGGACACGGGGGTGTCTGATCAAACCAAGTATGCTTCTGTGGAGGGGGTGGGTGGGTTAGGTTAGGTCAGAGCAAAGGGGGGCAAAAAAGGTTAAGTGGTCTTTGTCTTAAAGTGCATTTAACCTTTAAAAAAAGCCATTGAAAATACGCTAACGTGATTTTAGTGGCTGAGTTTAGATCTACTTTCAAGCCCAGCGAGCGGCTTGCTATGGGGGCACCTGCTCCTGAGCCTCTAATATGTTGCTCAAAGGTCATTCCTTCCCAATGCCCCCCCCCCCCCCCCCCCAGTGAACAATCAGCAAAATTCATTGTTTAGTTGGGTTCAATAAATATACAGCTGTCACATGACCCAGCTCTTTCCCAGCCTGTATGCATGGAAACAGTGGCAGGAGTAGCTTCTAGACCTTTGTCACGCCCCTCCAGCCTTTGTGTTAAAATAACAGGCAGGTGAAGCCTCCATCAATCAAGATGTAACACACATCACCCCCCCCCCCCATTATGTTTAACAGGTTAGTGGGCATTGAGGAGGAGGAGGGAGGGAGTGGGCTTTCATTTACCACTGAGTATATGTCCTCATGAGTGACTATATTCCATGGGTAGGCAACCTGCGGCTCTCTAGCTGTTGTGGAACTACATTTACAGCTATGACTTGCAGAGGCATGATGGAACTTGTAGTCCTGCAACAGCTGGAGAGCCGCAGGTTGCTTACCCCTGGTATAGTCACATAGGCTGCTCCAATGTGATAGGAAGGAAATGCTCTGAGTAGAAGTACACTGAAAACTGAGCATGTGCAGTAGCCGCCAACACTGCTCTGCAGAATCCCCAACTGCAGTGGGGACAGGGACAGGAGGGGGAGACCGAGAACAGCAGGATCAGACTTTTTGCAGAACACAGAAAATGCATCCCATCGTGAATGAGTATTTCTTGATAGTTTTTAATGATTGGGTTTAATGACGCTTACAATTTTCTTTGTGATAAAAAGGATAGGTTGCCTGTTATTAACCAATAACTATTGTGTGTTTCACAGCACTTGCTGCATATGAAGGAGCAGCTGTCCAAGCAGAAGGCCGGTTCCGATATTCGTGTGGCTCAGATGAATGAGGAGCTACAGCTATCGAGAGAGAGAGAATCGAACGCCGTTGCAGAAATCAGAAAATTATATGAACTGTTGCAGTCTGAAGAGGAGAAGCTGAGGCACGCTGAAAAAGTTTTCAGCAACGTACAAGCAAACAATCGACAGCTTACAGTCCAGATGAACGAGCTACAGGAGGTTGTTAAAAATTTGGAATCCAGAAATTCCGGTACTAAGAAGGAATATGAAAAGCTTCAGGAGAGCCTGAAGCTGGCAAGAGAAGAACTTAGGGTGGCCCAACAGGAGTCACTCTCCCGACATGAGATCCAAGGCGATGGTGAACACGAAAAAGAGATTAATAGGTTAAATCTTCAACTTTCAGAAACTAGACAGTTGAAAGAAGACTTGGAGAATGAGATTTGTGACTTGAAGATGGAGAATGAGATGTTACTGTCAACCCAAGAACAAGCAAAGCAACAACTGCAAGAAGTTGTGGCCTCTAACGGCAAGGAAGCTTTGGAAAAACAGACAGTCATCGAGGCCCTCAGGATGGAGAAGAGCCGTCTAGAAATGGAGCTGAACCAACTGGAAAACAGACTTCATGAACAGGCTCAGAAGTATGAACGAACCATCCGTGAACTTTCAAATGCCCAAAAGATGGACACCTCTGCTTTACAGCTTGAGCACGAGCGAATTGTTAAGCTCAACCAAGAAAAAGACTTTCAGTTAGCAGAGAGCAAACGGACTATAGAGCAGCTTGAGATGGATTCTGAGGAGACCAAGGAGATGCTGACAAGTACCTTAGAGGGGCAGAAACAGCTCACTGAACTTATTAGAGAGAAGGAAAGTTTTGTCACTGAGCTCAAGGAGAAGAAACTGGAGTTGCAAAGACAACTTGAGGAACAAACCAAAACGACAAAAGAACGTGACGTCTTAAGACAGAGCATTGAAGAGAAGGAAAAACTTCTTGCTTCAATGAAGGAAGACAACAGCCACCTTAAGGAGGAAATTGAAAGGTTGAAGGACCAGCAGAGCCGGTCCCAGCCGGTGGTGGACCCAAAAACATTAGACATCATTACAGAACTGGAGGCAGAAATAACGCAGCTGACCAAAGTCCAGAACCATTATGAAGAAGAGCTGAAACTTCAGAAGAAAGCAGTCGAAAAACAAAATCAAAATGCTGCTCAACTTCAAAAATCTCTTCAGGAAAAAATCAAAGAAGTCAATGAAGTAACGTTACAGCACAAGGAGATGGTGGACACATATGAGAAGCTACTTGCTGAAAAAGACAGTGAAATCTCGAGTCTGCAACAGACCAACGAATTGATCAGCTCCCAGCTGCAAAACGAGCATCTTATCCAGACAGATTCCTCTGTTATACTCCATGATACCAAGGCACAAACGATCAACAATGGTGATAACGGCACAGAGAAGCACGATCTATCTAAAGTGGAGGTTGAGAGATTGGTCAAGGGTATCAAAGAGAAAGAGATGGAGATTAAGATTCTCAATGAAAAGAACTTTAACTTGACCAAACATATTGACCAGCTGTCTAAAGACGAAGTGGGAAAGCTCACTCAGATCATCCAACAAAAAGACTTAGAAATACAAAATCTTCACGCCCGAGTTTCCTCGGTCAGTTACATGCAAGATGTAGTCTATCTACAGCAGCAGTTGCAAGCCTATGCAATGGAGAGAGAGCAGGTTCTAGCCGTCCTAAGTGAGAAGACCAGGGAAAACAGTCAGCTTCGAACTGATTACCACAAAATGATGGACGTGGTGGCTGCCAAAGAGTCGGCCCTTTTGAAACTTCAAGATGAAAACAAGAGACTTTCGCTCAGCCAAGAAGGCACCAACCAAGAGATGTTTAGAGAGACCATCCAGAATCTCTCCAGAATAATTAGAGAGAAGGATATCGAGATAGATGCCTTAAGCCAGAAATGTCAGACCTTGTTGACCGTTCTTCAGACCTCCAGTTCGGAGAATGGCAGTGACCTTGGAGGTGTCAATAGTAATCAGTTTGAGGAACTGTTGCAGGAACGGGATAAAACTCAAGCAGCAAGTGAAGAAGATGGAAGAGTGGAAACATCAGGTAATGACCACTGTCCAGAACATGCAACACGAGTCTGCTCACTTCCAGGAGGAGCTTCACAAGCTTCAGGGGCAGATCAACAAGGAGAGTGATTCTAGCTCTAAATTGCAAGTAGACTACAACCACCTCATTCAGAGCTATGAAAACAATGAGAAGAAACTCAAAGATTTCAGCCTAGAGCTGAGTAATGTTCAAACCAGTATTGGTGAACTCAACAGCACAAAAGAACATATACTTGGTCAACTTCAGGTCAGTAAATACACCGCAAGTCCAGTTGAGACTCCCTTGGGGGCACCTCCAGAGCACAAAAGTGGCAATTTTTCAATTGTTCGAGAATGTGAACAACTGAGGATTCAAATTCAAGAGAGGGATATCACCATTCGAACCCTTCAAGAGAATAACCAGCGATTGTCAGACTCCATGGCTAAAACATCGGAGCAAGGTCGCCGGAGCCAGGAGGAGACCACCTCTGAGCTCAAGCAGATGAAGGACAAAAACGAACTCTTTCAGAAGGCTCTAAAAGACAAGGACATAATGATAAAGACAAAGGGCGATAAATTAAACTCCACCGTCGAAAACCTGAAGAACAAAGAGAATGAGAATGAGCTGCTGAGGCAGGCCGTCACCAACCTCAAAGAGAGGGCTCTTATTTTGGAAATGGACATCGGCAAGCTGAAGGAAGAAAACGAAAAAGTGGTGGCCAAAGAGAAGGAAAAAGAAACAGAGTTTCGAGCATTACACGAGACCAACATGCAGTTTTCCTTGTTGCTCAGAGAGAAGGAATTTGAGTCCAGCTCGATGAAGGAGAAAGCATCTGCTCTGGAAAACCTTCTTAAAGAAAAGGAACAGGTTTGTCCAGCTTCATTCTGGGTTTAAAATACTTTTACGTATACGTTGGGAAATCTTATAAAAGAGTTGTGGAACTGGTTTTTGTTTTGTTGCTCTGCACACTCCCACTTTTTAGGCGTTGTGCAGTAAAGCAGTGCAAATTTCTGTACTGAAGGAGAAGTACGGCCAAAGCTCTTTTGGCCAAATGTCTCATGTGGGTCACAAAAGTGCATTTACAGTAGTTCTGCATTCCTGTGACCTAGATTGAGCTGACTGCGGGCTAAAGTCTGCTGTTGGCTGACATCACAAAGCTGGTCCAAGTTCCGCAGGGGTCCCGACAATAATGTTGGGATCTGCCCATATGCTTGACCAGCAGCTGCCTCAGTCTCTCAGCATGCCCCTTCCACAGTCTGGTGCTCCTGTGAGCATTGGAGGGGCAAAACACAGAGCAGTAACCGCTCTGTGCTTGGAGCGGATCCGAGAACTGAGCGATCAGCGTTACAGTATTTAGGGAGGTGGAAGCAGACAGCTAGTGAAAGTTTTCAGGGATGCACTGAAATTTCGGAAGAAATGTTTTAGCCAAAAACAACCCTATTGGCCGATATGAAAAAAAGCACCGATACAGATGCCGAAAAAAAACCCTCCCCTCGCCGCCTGCCGCTGCCGGCAGCGGCCAACACTCGGTAGTTCTCAGCCTTACCTGAAAAAACCATCGAATGATCCCGGCGCTGGGCATAGAGATGAGTGAAGGAAAGATGGCCTCCACTGATCTCTATGCCCTTGGAGGACCGGAGCGATGTCATTTCCAGTTCCGGCCATTATTTTTTTTTTTTAAAGCGCTAGATCACTGCTTTTTTTGATCTAATGCTTTACATTGCAGAGGAGAGATGTGGGGTCTTATGGACCCCATATCTCTCCATAAAGAGGACCTGTCACTAATCATGTCTTATTGACCCCCATATCTCTCCATAAAGAGGACCTGTCATTAATCATGTCTTATTGACCCCACATCTCTCTATAAAGAGGACCTGTCACTAATTATGTCTTATTGACCCCACATCTCTCTATAAAGAGGACCTGTCACTAATTATGTCTTATTGGCCCCACATCTCTCTATAAAGAGGACCTGTCACTAATTATGTCTTATTGACCCCCCATATCTCTCCATAAAGAGGACCTGTCACTAATTATTTCTATCACGGGGGATGCATGCATTTCTTGTGATAAAAAGTGATTATACATATTTTTTTACATGGACAGTGCAAAAAAAACATTAAATACATTTTTTTAAAAAGTTTAAATTGCCCCCCCCCCCCCATGCTCGCACGTAGGGGTGAACGCTTAGGTAGGCCACGCCCACATATGTAAACGGTGTTCAAACCGCACGCGTGAGGTATCGCCACGAACATAAGATCAATAATTCTCGCACTAGACCTCCTCTGTTACTTTACACTGCTAACCTGTAGAATTTTTTAGAGCATCACCCATGGAGATTTTTAAGTACTGCAGTTTTATGCCACTCCACGAGCACAATTTTAAAGCATGATATGTTTGGTATCTATTTACTTTCTGTAACATCCTCTCATATTTTACAAAAAAATGGGGGTAATTGATGCGGGGGGAACGTTTAGAAATGTCCACCCGCTTCGGCAGCGCTCCCGTCCGGCCCATGTAGATAAACGGCGAAGTGGTTGACCTATCCATTTATACATGTGCTCCTACTATGGAGGCTTTGGAAATTGTAGTTATGTACACAGTATACAGAGGACCCTTGACGTGGGACTGAGGCATACGCATCTATTTGCAAATGTGTGCAAACAAAACCCTCTGCTTTTAATGCAAACTGTTAGACAGGCCACATTGGTTTTGCAGGCTGGCTGGTAAATGTTGCTGGGAAATCTTTTGTTTGTTTGCGATGTATATTGCCCTTCCATGTGCACCGGATCGCAGTGCCGCGTGCTCCCAGGAGGCGCGGTGCCGCGTGTTCCCACGGAGCGCGCACAGGCAGTGAATACGGAGGCTGTTTATAAACGGCCACTGTAACAGAACTGGACCCCGACTGCACTTGGGTATTTCCGTTAGCCTCCCTCTTCCCTGTCCAAACACAGATCCACGGACACCACCGCTGGCCATACAAGACGAGACAACACCAGTCTGTATAAACATGGAAACTCTTTATTTGAAACTCAAACTGGCTTTTTATACACTCAGGGGACAAATCCCCCCTCCCTGCATAATGACACAGGGCTGGGCAATCTACATTTAGTAACAAGAGACACACCAGCAGACCGTCCCATCAGGAGGGAGGGCTGCTAGAAACACCCTCCCCCCAAGCCAATACACATAAACACATACATCCCATAATAGTTTGCTCCCAAGCAAGACACACAATAGAACAATGGGACCACATGGCAGTAAACAATGAACAACCCCCACACCAATATTAGAACATTTTACCCTGTACCCCTAACAAGCACAGGGGGACTTACACATAATATGGATATGGGGAGCTGAGACAGGGGTCTCCCCACCCCTCCAAAGGGGGCTGTGTTCCAAAAGGGGGCTGTGTTTCATGGGCCCCCCACCCAAAGTGACTCCCATCACAGCCACCCGCTCCTGCACTTCTCCCGCCCGGCCGTTTATGTACATGGGCCGACGGGAAGGGGTTAAGTAACGAATATGGATTTGAGTTTTCTGTATTATATTTATGTCCTTCTGGTTGCACAATACGAGATTCTAGTCAAATATTGGCCTGTATGGTGTCTCTTCAGTTACTTCCTCCTTTTAGTTGGTTTTATTGGAATAATAATTTGTTTTCTTTCTCAGGGAAAGGCCGGGGAATTGAACCAGCTGCTGAATGAAGTGAAGTCGATGCAGGAGAAGGCGGTTTTGTTCCAGCATGAGCGGGATCAGGTCATGTTGGCTCTCAAACAGAAGCAGATGGAAACCAGTGCTCTCCAGAATGAGGTGGGTGCTGGGACCATGGCGGGGGGATGTACCAGTCAGTGTAGAATATGATCCACTTCATCACATGACGCCTCCGAGGTAAAGTACACTGGGGAGGTCATATGCACATCTTATTGTAGGTAAAAAAAAAAGTGCTTTATTTTTTTTTTTTTTTTTCCTGGATTCCTTCACGACCAGCAGATCACGGGTGCAATGCAGGGCTCCTGCAGACTGTCTGTGTAGCTGTCTGCTCGTACCTCATGGGTGGGCACTTACACAATGACAGGAAGAATTCAATGGACTACCAGAGCGCCTAACCACACCCTGCTAGTTCATTGAGAACCACAAGCAGACAGCTGCAAAGGCTGTCGGACTTGGTAGTTTTCCCATTCACAGAACCCTTTGAATGAATGACGCAGCCAGGTGGTCGGAGCCCTGCCAGACCCTGTGTGTGGGTGGGGTTTTTTTTTGTTTTTTTTTTTTTTTTTTTTAACCACTCCACTGCACTTCGTTTTCTCTTAGACCCTTGAAATGTCTCACAGGCACCTGTTGATCCTACCCAGGAAAATTCACTTAACCACTTCCAGTCCGGACACTTTCCCCCCCTTCCAGTCTGGACACTTTCCCCCCCTTCCAGTCTGGACACTTTCACCCCCTTCCAGTCCGGACACTTTCCCCCCCTTCCAGTCCGGACACTTTCCCCCCCTTCCAGTCCGGACACTTTCCCCCCCTCCTTCCAGTCCGGACACTTTCCCCCCCTTCCAGTCCGGACACTTTCCCCCCCTTCCAGTCCGGACACTTTCCCCCCCTTCCAGTCCGGACACTTTCCCCCCCTTCCAGTCCGGACACTTTCCCCCCCTTCCAGTCCGGACACTTTCCCCCCCTTCCAGTCCGGACACTTTCCCCCCCTTCCAGTCCGGACACTTTCCCCCCCTTCCAGTCCGGACACTTTCACCCCCTTCCAGTCCGGACACTTTCCCCCACTTCCAGTCCGGACACTTCCCCCCCCCCTCCAGTCCGGACACTTCCCCCCCCCCCCCTCCAGTCCGGACACTTCCCCCCCCCCTTCCAGTCTGGACACTTCCCCCCCCCCTTCCAGTCCGGACACTTCCCCCCCCCCCCTTCCAGTCCGGACACTTCCCCCCCCCCCCCCCTTCCAGTCCGGACACTTCCCCCCCCCCTTCCAGTCCGGACACTTCCCCCCCCCCCCTCCAGTCCGGACACTTTCACGCCCTTCCAGTCCGGACACTTTCACGCCCTTCCAGTCCGGACACTTTCCCCCCCCCCCCCTCCTGTCCGGACACTTTCACCCCCCTTCCTCTCCAGGCCAATTTTCAGCTTTCAGCGCTATCACACTTTGAATGACAATTGTGCGGTCATGCAACACTGTACCCATATGAATTTTTTAGCATTTTTTTGGGACAGATAAAGCATTATTTTGGTGGTATTTATTCACCACTGGGATTTTTTGTTTTTTGCTATGTAAATGAAAAAAGTTTAAAAAAAGTGTTTTTCTTATAAAATTTTGCAAATAAATAATATTTCATCATAAATCTCGGCCAAAATTTATTCCGTTATCTAGTAAAAAAAAATAACCCAAATTAGTTTATAACCAAAAATTATAATTTTTAAACATTTTTTTTACATTTTTTATTTTATTTTTGTATATTATTTTTTTTTTTTTTTTTTTTTTTTTTTTTACATACTGTCACCCTAGCAGTACAGTGTCACCATGGTGACACTGTACTACTTGTGGAGGGTGATGAATATTTTTTTTTTTTTTTTACACTGATTGCTTTTTCACCCATAAAGTCTGTAAAAGCAATCATTTCTCCTCTCTGGCTGCATTCTTGCACTCATTGAGAAATACTGTGTGAGCTGTGATTGGTCACAGCTTGTCACATGGTACAAGGCTGTTGTGAATAGCCCTGTACCATGTGACCTCGGTGATCATTCACAGATTTCACACGTAGTAAGCAATGATGTCAGAAGTGACATTTTGCTTACTACTCTGCATGTGATCACTGATTGGCCAATCAGTGATCACATGATCGGGACCTCGCACAGAAGTCCAGTACGACGATCGGTGTTCCACTGTGTCCGGCTCCGGGCACCGGATCGCGGTGCTGTGCGCTCTCAGGGAGCGTGCACAAGCAGGGGGCGGGGAGGCTGTTTATAAACGGCCACACAACCCTGCACTGCAACCGTCCGGCCGTTTATATACAACAGCCGCACGGGAGGTGGTTAACAGTGACTGTAAGATCAGGGAGAAAAAAACATCCTTGGCCGCAAATAGCAGCACGGGTAGGGCGCACGTGTGCCCCCTACCTGGTAATACAGAATGACGTATATATGTGATTCTGTGCACAGGTGCCGCCCTGTAGCAGTATATCTGCTACTTTCTGACATCATTGCTTACTACGTGTGAAATCTGTGAATGATCACAGAGGTCACATGGTACAGGGCTATTCACAACAGCCTTGTACCATGTGACAAGCTGTGACTAATCACAGCTCACACAGTATTTCTCAATGGCTGCAAGAATGCAGCCAGAGAGCAGGAGAAATGATTCCTTTTACAGCCTTTATGGGTGTAAAAGCAATCGGTGTAAAAAAAACCAAAAAATCTTTATCACCCCCACAAGTAGTACAGTGTCACTATGGTGACAGTATGTTAAAAAAAACATAAATATTAAAAATAAAAATGTAAAAACAAATTTTGAAAAAATATAATTTTTGGTTATAAACTAATTGGAGTTTTTCTTTTACTATAAAGATAACTGAATACATTTTGGCCAAGATTTATGAAGAAAGATTATTTATTTGCAAAATTGTATAAGATTAACACTTTTTTTCTTCAGAATTTTTGGACTTTTTCATTTTATACAGCAAAAAAAAATAAAAATCCCAGCGGTGAATAAATATCACCAAAATAAAGTTTTATCTGTTTAAAAAAAAAAAATGCAAAAAAATTCATATGGGTACAGTGTTGCATGACCGCGCAATTGACATTCAGAGTGTGATAGCGCTGAAAGCTGAAAATTGGCCGGGACAGGAAGGGGGTGAAAGCGTCCTGACTGGAAGGGGGTGAAAGTGTCCGGACTGGAAAGGGGTGAGAGCGTCCGGACTGGAAGGGGGTGAAAGCGTCCGGACTGGAAGGGGGTGAAAGCGTCCGGACTGGAAGGGGGTGAAAGCGTCCGGACTGGAAGGGGGTGAAAGCGTCCGGACTGGAAGGGGGTGAAAGCGTCCGGACTGGAAGGGGGTGAAAGCGTCCGGACTATAAGGGGGGAAAGTGTCCGGACTGGAAGGGGGAGAAAGTGTCCGGAGACTGGAAGGGGGAAAAAGTGTCCGGACTGGAAGGGGTGAAAAAGTGTCCGGACTGGAAGGGGTGGAAAGTGTCCGGACTGGAAGGGGTGGAAAGTGTCCGGACTGGAAGGGGGGGAAAGTGTCCGGACTGGAAGGGGGGGGAAAGTGTCCGGACTGGAAGGGGGGGAAAGTGTCCGGACTGGAAGGGGGGGAAAGTGTCCGGACTGGAAGGGGGGGAAAGCGTCCGGACTGGAGGGGGGTGAAAGCGTCCGGACTGGAGGGGGGTGAAAGCGTCCGGACTGGAAGGGGGTGAAAGCGTCCGGACTGGAAGGGGGGGAAAGCGTCCGTACTGGAAGGGGGGGAAAGCGTCTGGACTGGAAGTGGTTAACACGCTTACAATTTTGGAAATGCCTCCATCTTCATGGGGCTCTTTTATGGTCCAGCTGGGCATGTGGAAGATGAAACAAGCCATTGACACATTGGCCCCCCCCCCAGAGGCTGGTCACATGTTCTTTATCTTTACGGATTCCTGTGATTAGAAGCCTGTGGTCACATGACTAGCACTTTTTCTCTCTGAGCACATATTCCCCACGGCCTTCGTATATGCGTCGTGTGCTGGCGCTGATTGGTTTCTGTTTCTGGATCTTGCGATCGTTTCCTCTGCGTAAGTTCAGTGTTTGAATATTACTTAGTATTTTAGGACCCAATTGTGGACACAATTACTTTCCCAGGATTAAAGCTGATCCAGGGAATATCCGATTGCCTCTCGGGGAATCAGGAAGGAATTTTTTCCCCTGCAGGAGCCAATTGGATCGTGCTTTGCTGGGTTTTTTGCCTTCCTCTGGATCAACTGTGGATGTAGGATTATAACTTTTTTTTTTTTTTTTTTTAATGGTTGAACTGGATGGACTTTTGTCTTTTTTCAGCCAGACTAACTATGTAACTATGTAAAGTAGTTATACTAACTGTTGTCTTCTACATCCAGCAAATCTGCACTTTTACATGCCGGGGTAAGCAAAGCTTTCAATGTACTTCCAGGATGTGTGAATGTAACCGCTGCAGTTCTCATCAGCCCAGCGCCCCCGTTGTGTTTTAGAGCAGAGACGGGTTCAAGTTCTGATCGGATTTTTATTATCCCTGACGGGAAACCTCTCCTGTGGGGACAGACTGAAGGGCCCATGTACACTGCAGCTGATAGACTCACATTTAGTAGCTTTTCTGCTTTTTTTTTTCACCATCCCCTGAACTCTCCCCAATGTTCTCCTATGTGTCCATATACACATCGTCCTTTACAGGCAGTTGAATTTACCGTCGTTTTTTTTTTTTTTTTTTTTGAACGCACCAAACTTGTGTTCAGGAGTAGATTTTTACCGGCGTTTGCTCACCTGTGCGCAAAATCACGTATATATACGACATTCTTCATCACCGGGTAGGGGGCGCGCGTGTGCCCTACCTGTGCTGCCATGGATGTCAATCACCGGGTCTCGGCGGTATTGACCCGCCGGCGCCCAGTGATTACCATGACTCTCCAACGGGGAGGAAGATTGTTTTGTTTACGCAAACGCGCATAAACGCGGTATGCAAACGTGGTGTTTTCCAGCAGTCAGTTTCCATCGTTCAGAAGAGTTTTCCAAGCGCCCTGTGTATATGGAACCCTAAGAGGAAAGGGACAATATTTTATTGACGGCTGTGCCTTACAAAAAAGCTCTACCCAGGTGTGGACTGACAACTCATGGGGCCCCCGAGCAATAGGGGATCATGGGGCCCCTGTGTCCTCGCCTACACTCAAACCACACCCAAAAAAAGCCTTTGAAAGGTACCAGGGCATCTCATGGGGCCCCCTACTGACCCTGGGCCCTCAAGCAGTGCCCGAGCACCCGAATGGTCAGTCCGCCCCTGGCTCTACCTATTTGTGCGAATGGTGTCCTGAGGACAGGATGTTGGGGGAAATTTCCCCAGTCAGATCACAGACCCTGACAAATGCATTACTTTTTGGTGCTCTGTGCTGGCATCTTTTACATGTTGTTTGTTTTTGGGTTTTTGTGAATGTTGTTTTTTTATGTTTGTTTTTCTATTGGACGCTTTAACCACCTCCCGTCTGGCCGCTGTATATAAACGGCTGGACGGTGGCAGTGCAGGGTTGGGTGGCTGTTTATAAACGGCCCCCCCCGCCCCCTGCTCGTATGCACTCCCTGGGAGCACGCAGCACCGCAATCCGGTGCCAGCTGTGTCCTCAGGACACAGTGGAACACCGATCGTCGTACGGGACCTCTGTGCGAGGTCCCGATCATGTGATCACTGATTGGCCAGTCAGTGATCACATGAAAAGTAGTAAGCAAGATGTCACTTCTGCAAAAAAAATTTTAAAATTATAATTTTTTTTTTTACTAAAAAGATAACGGAATAAATATTGGCCAAGATTTATGATGAAATATTATTTATTTGCAAAATTTTATAAGAAAAACACTTTTTTTTCAAAATGTTTCAGACTTTTTCATTTACATAGCAAAAGAAATAAAAATCCCAGTGGTGAATAAATACCACCAAAATAAAGTTTAATCTGTCTAAAAAAAAAAATGCTAAAAAATTCATATGGGTACAGTGTTGCATGACCGCGCAATTGTCATTGAAAGTGTGATGGCGCTAAAAGCTGAAAATTGGCCTGGGCAGGAAGGGGGTGAAAGGGGGGGGGGGGGGAAAGTGTCCGGAAGGGAAAGGGGGGAAGGGGGTGAAAGTGTCCGGACTGGAAGGGGGTGAAAGTGTCCGGACTGTGAAAGTGTCCGGACTGGAAGGGGGGGAAAGTGTCCGGACAGGAAGGGGGGGGGGGGGGAAGTGTCCAGACTGGAAGGGGGGGGAAAGTGTCCGTACAGGAAGGGGGTGAAAGTGTCCGGACTGGAAGGGGGGGGGGGGGGGGGGGGAGTGTCCGGACTGGAAGGGGGGGGGGGGGAAGTGTCCGGACTGGAAGGGGGGGGGGGAAGTGTCCGGACTGGAAGGGGGGGGGGGGGGGGGAAGTGTCCGGACTGGAAGGGGGGGGGGGGGGGGGAAGTGTCCGGACTGGAAGGGGGGGGGGGAAGTGTCCGGACTGTAAGGAGGGGAAAGTGTCCGTACAGGAAGGGGGTGAAAGTGTCCGGACTGGAAGGGGGGGGGGGGGGGAAGTGTCCGGACTGGAAGGGGGGGGGGGGAAGTGTCCGGACTGGAAGGGGGGGGAAAGTGTCCGGACTGGAAGGGGGGGAAAGTGTCCGGACTGGAAGGGGGGGGGGGGGGGGGGGTGTCCGGACTGGAAGGGGAGGGGGGGGGGGAAGTGGTCCGGACTGGACAGGGGGGGAGTGTCCGGACTGGAAGGGGGGGAAAAAGTGTCCGGACTGGAAGGGGGGGAAAGTGTCCGGACTGGAAGGGGGGGAAAGTGTCCGGACTGGAAGGGGGGGGGGGGGGGGAAGTGTCCGGACTGGAAGGGGGGGGGGGAAAGTGTCCGGACTGGAAGGGGGGGGGGGGAAAGTGTCCGGACTGGAAGGGGGGGGGGGGAAAGTGTCCGGACTGGAAGGGGGGGGGGGGGAAAGTGTCCGGACTGGAAGGGGGGGGGGGAAAGGTAAAGTGTCCGGACTGGAAGGGGGGGGGGGGGGAAAGTGTCCGGACTGGAAGGGGGGGGGGGGAAGTGTCCGGGACTGGAAGGGGGGGGGGGGAAAGTGTCCGGACTGGAAGGGGGGGGAAAGTGTCCGGACTGGAAGGGGGGGGGAAAGTGTCCGGACTGGAAGGGGGGGGAAAGTGTCCGTAACAGGAAGGGGGTAAAGTGTCCGGACTGGAAGGGGGGGGGGAAAGTGTCCGGACTGGAAGGAGGGAAAGTGTTCCGGACTGGAAGGGGGGGGGGAGGTGTCGGACCGGAAGGGGCTGAAAGCGTCCGGACCGGAAGGGGGGGGGGGGGGAAGCGTCCGGACTGGAAGGGGGGGGGGAAGCGTCCGGACTGGAAGGGGGGGGGGGGAGCGTCGGGACTGGAAGGGGGGGGAAGCGTCCGGACTGGAAGGGGGGGAAGCGTCCGGACTGGATGGGGGGGGGAATGCGTCGGGGACTGGAAGGGGGGGAGCATCGGGACTGGAAGGGGGGGAAAGCGTCGGGACTGGAAGGGGGGGGAAAGCGTCGGGACTGGAAGGGGGGGAAAGCGTCGGGACTGGAAGGGGGGGAAAGCGTCGGGACTGGAAGGGGGGAAAGTGTCGGGACTGGAAGGGGGTGAAATTGGCCTGGACTGGAAGGGGGTGAAAATTGGGCTGGACTGGAAGGGGGTGAAAGGCCTGGACTGGAAGGGGGGGAAAGTGTCCGGACTGGAAAGGAAGGGGGGGAAAGTGTCCGGACCGGAAGGGGGGGGAAGCGTCTGGACTGGAAGTGGTTAATCGGTATGAAATCCCTCAGGTCCAGCATCTACGAGACAAAGAACAGCGCCTCAAGCAGGAACTGGACCGGCTGCGCAATCACCTGCTGGAAATGGAGGACTCCTACACCCGCGAGGCTGTGGCCGCTGAGGATCGGGAGAAGGAACTCCGAAAGAAAGTGGCAATCTTAGAAGAGAGGCTTTTATCTTCCTCCACAGCAGTGGAGACAGCCAGGTACCGGAGTCTGTGGAAGGGACAATATTTGGGTGGTTCATAGAACCGGTGATCTCTAAGGCCGGCCATACACTATACAATTTTCTGTACAATTTTCTGCCCAATTTCCTTTAGATTTACCTTCTACTATGTAGTCCAAGAGCCTGCCTGATTGGATACAATTGAAAGTGATGTTAGGTTTGACCTCATATTATATGGTTTTTGGTAAATCTAAACCAAAAATCTCCAGGAAAAGAGTATAGTGTATGGCCAGCCTAATGCTGGCCATAGACGAGTCGAAAATCGGCCGATTTTTTTCTTTTGGGGAAAAAATCAGCCGATTTTCGACTCGTCTATGGCCGGCATTAGGCTGGCCGTACACTATACAATTTTCTGCCCAATTTCCGCCCAATTTCCTTTAGATTTACCTTCAACTATGTAGTGCAAGAGCTGGCCTAATTGGATACAATCAAAAGTGTTATTATATGGATTTTGGTAAATCTAAACCAAAAATCTTAAGAAAATTGTATAATGTATGGCCGGCCTTAAACTGGCTGTTTTGTTGGTTTAGTCACCAGGCTACGATACAGGTGGAGTCTCTACAAGAGCAGCTCAGTATGGTGTCCCGTCAGAGAGATGAGGTTTCACAGCAACTGATCATGTCCAAGAGCAAGTCAAACAATACGCGTTATCGCTGACCAACCTGCAGATGGTGCTAGAGCAGTTCAGCAAGGTAAGGCGGTTCAGGTGGAGCTAAAAATCCCGGAGGGACCCAGGAATTCGGGGATTGTTGGGGTATTTTACTACTTGGAGAAGGGTTTGGACGCTGGCAAACAGCTTGTGGGCCAGACCCAGCATGACCTCTCCTACTGCCAACATGCCTTCACTTTTTTTTTTTGCTAGTGACCTTGGAAGATGGACGTCTCGTCAGCTCTGCTGAGAGAAATCGAACTTTTCTCTTGCTAGCTATTTTTTCTTCATTCCAGATCACCTTTCTTCAGTCAAGGCTCCATTACAAGGTGCTAAGCTGGTCTGTATTTGCAGCTACTCCAGTCAGCGTTTTCCTCGGTTTACGAATGCCACAGTTAATGTAATTTTCGGTTTACGAATTTCTTTACAATTTTTTTTTCACAATACGAAGTGTACGCCGATTTTTAAATGCAATTGCCGCCGTTTTTTTTTAAATTTTTTTATGCACTATAGCTCACAGAACTAGCTGTCACTTTCCCTGGAGCTAAAGGAAACTTTGTTTCTTCTAAGAAACTAAAAAGGAAACTTTGTTTTTTCTAAGAATCTAAAAAAGGAAACTTTGTTTCTTCTAAGAAACTAAAAAGGAAAACTTTGTTTCTTCTAAGAAACTAAAAAGGAAACTTTGTTTCTTCTAAGAAAACTAAAAGGAAACTTTGTTTTTTCTAAGAAACATCTAAAAAGGAAACTTTGTTTCTTCTAAGAAACTAAAAAGGAAACTTTGTTTCTTCTAAGAAACTAAAAAAGGAAACTTTGTTTCTTTTAGGGGGGGAAATAAATAAAAGGAAACTTTGTTTCTTTTAACTGGGGGAATAAAACTGAAAGGAAACTTTTTTCCTTCTAAGAAAACTATAAGGAAACTTTTTCTTCTAAGAAACTAACAGGAAACATTGTGTTTTCTTTTAACTCGGGGAAATAAACTAAAAGGAAACTTTTTCTCAGAATTCTTTTAGATGGGGGAAGTTCTTTTAGCTGGGACCATATTCAACTATAATATATTTCATATATATATATATTATATATATATATATATGGATATATATATGGTATCAGTCATGGCCGAAAATTGTTGGCACCCTTGATATTTTTCCTGAAAATCAAGTATTTCACACAAAAAAGGTATTGCATTAACACATGTTTTGCTATACACATGTTTATTCCCTTTGTATGTATTGGAACAAATATGTCAAACAGAGGCAGCAAAGCAAATAAGACCAAATGTCACACAAACCCCAAAAATGGGGTCTGGACAACTCAAAGTATTCTAGCACCCTTATTAATATTTGGTTGCAAACCCTTTGGAAAACATAACTGAATCAGTCGCTTCCTATAACCAAGAGGTGAAGCTTCTGACACCTCTCACCCGGAATTTTGGACCCTCTTTCCTTTGCAAACAGCTTGCAGGTCTCTCTTATTGGACCAAGGACACCTTTTTCCCAACAGCATTTTAAGATCTCTCCACAGGTGTTCAATGGGGTATTTAGATCTGGGCTCATTGCTGGCACTTCAGAACTCTCCTGCGCTTCTTTGCCATCCATTTCTGAGTGCTTTTTGACGTATGTTTGGGGTCATTGTCCTGCTGGAAGACCCGTGGATCTTGGACTGCAAACCCAGCTTTCTGACACTGGGCCCTACAGTGCGAGCCCAAAATCCTTTGGTAATCCTCAGATTTCATGATGCCTTGCACACAGTCAAGGCACCCAGTGCCCAGAGGCAGCAAAACAAGTCGACCAGTATGCCAAAACATCATTGGAACAAACCACCAAATTTTACCGTAGGTACTGTGTTTTGTTCTTTGTAGGCCTCATTCCGTTTTCGGTAAACAGTAGAATGATGTGCTTTACCGAAAAGCTCTATCTTGGTCTCATCTGTCCAACAACGTCTAGTTTTCCAGAAGGCTTTTGGCTTACTGATAAGTACATTTTGGCAAAACTGTAGTCTTGCTTTTTTATGTCTCTGTGTCAGCAGTGGGCTTCAGCTGGGTCTCCTGCCATAGCGTTTCATTTCATTTAAATGTCGAGGATAGTTCGCGCTGACATGATGCTCCCTGAGCCTGCAGGACAGCTTTGAATGTCTTTGGGAGACGTTTGGGGCTGCTTATCCACCATCCGGACTATTCTGCGTTGCAATCTTTCATCAATTTTCCTCATCCGTAGACGACCAGGGAGATTAGCTACAGTGCCATGGGTTGCAAACTTCTTGATAATGTTGCGCACTGTGGACAAAGGCAAATCTAGTTCTCTGGAGATGGACTTGTAACCTTGAGGATTGTTGATTATTTTGCCAGCATTTTGGTTTCTCAGGTCCTCAGACAGTTCTCGTCTCCTCTTTCTGTTGTCCATGCTTAGTGTGGCACGGAGGCCTTAGCCCATGAAGAATGGGCGAAGTACGACACACAATGCAAACACTTTAAGTGAACGTCTCTCCTTTTTATCTGCTTTCAGGTGTGATTTCTATATTGCCCACACCTGTTACTTGCCCCAGGTGAGTTTACAGGAGCTCACATGCTTGTAACATTCACTTTATCCGCAGTTGTGAAAGGGTGCCAAATACTTTTGTCACAGAGCCCATTTTTGGAGGTTTGTGTGACATTATGTCGAATATTTGCTTTCTTACAAGGCCTCTTTTTTGTTTTGTCCCAATACACACAAAGGGAATAACATGTGTTATAGCAAAACATGTGCCAATGCAATCACGTTTCGTGAGAAATAATGATTTCCTGGAGAAATATCAAGGGTGCCAACAATTTCGGCCATGACTGTATATACAGTCAGGTCCTTAAATATTGGGACATAGACACAATTCTAACATTTTTTGGGCTCTATACACCACCACAATGGATTTGAAATGAAACTAAACAAGATGTGCTTTAACTGCAGACTGTCAGCTTTAATTTGAGGGTATTTACATCCAAATCAGTTTGTGAACGGTGTAGGAATTACAACAGTTTGCATAGGTGCCTCCCACTTGTTAAGGCACCAAAAGTAATGGGACAGAATAAATATTATAAATCAAACTTTCACTTTTTAATATTTGGTTGCAAATCCTTTGCAGTCAATTACAGCCTGAAGCCTGGAACGCATAGACATCAGCAGACGCTGGGTGTCATCCCTGGTGATGCTCTGCCAGGCCTCTACTGCAACTGTCTTCAGTTCCTGCTTGTTCTTGGAGCATTTTCCCTTCAGTTTTGTCTTCAGCAAGTGAAATGCTCAATCGGATTCAGGTCAGGTGATGGACTTGGCCATTGCAGAACATTCCACTTCTTTGGTTGCTTTTGCAGTCTGCTTTGGGTCATTGTCCATCTGCACTGTGAAGCGTCCAATGAGTTGTGAAGGATTTGGCTGAATATGAGCAGATAATATTCCCGAAACACTTCAGAATTCATCCGGCTGCTCTTGTCAGCAGTCACATCATCAATAAATACAAGAGAACCAGTTCCATTGGCAGCCATACATGCCCACGCCATGACACTACCACCACCCATGATTCACTGATGAGGTGGTATGCTTAGGATCATGAGCAGTTCCTTTCCTTCTCCATACTCTTCTCTTTCCCATCACTCTGGTACAAGTTGATGTCGGTCTCATCTGTCCATAGGATGTTGTTCAGAACTGTGAAGGCTTTTTTACATGTCATTTGGCAAACTCTAATCTGGCCTTCCTGTTTTTGAGGCTCACCAATGGTTTCCATCTTGTGGTGAACCCTCTGTATTCACTCTGGTGAAGTCTTCTCTTGATTGGTGACTTTGACACACATACACCTACCTCCTGGAGAGTGTTCTTGATCTGGCCAACTGTTGTGAAGGGTAATGAATGGAAATATCCTCCTGCGCTTGGTATGGGTGAGTCCCTATCCTAACAGCTGCTATCACTCTGCCTTAACCAATAAGTGATAAAAATATCAAACACAAAAAATAGTGAAAGCGCTAGAATGAATCCCTAAATACGCACACAGTGCATATAATATTAAATGAAAACCATACCTCATAAATAAAATATATCCGTGACATAAAAAAATATATATCAATAGAAAACCAAATATATAAAGAAAATCTTTGTCTTGCCCCTAAATTATTTCTTCAAATCAAACATTAATAGAAAATCCATAATAATGCGAATAAAATAGTGATAAAAAAAAAAATATATATATATAAAAAACTGTGTTAATTAACATATATATATATATGTGATAATTCCAATAATAAATGTGACAATAAAAAATATGAATAGTGAATCTCAATCAAATATACGTGATTGATGTGAAAAAACCATATATTAAAACTATTACATATAAAAGAATCCACTGAAACTTGTGATGTTTAAATATAAAAAAGTGTCCATAAATGAACAATCACAGTCCATGCAATTACGGTGAAAAACGACACTCAGTGTTCTTCACTTCTAGTGCTCAAAACAAGAAAGGGAAGAAATCCTCCAATGGCAGCAATGCCTGCTCACCTCCCCAACTCGACCCGCAAAGGGCCACAAGGCTATAACTCTCCTCCAGGTAATCCTTTGCTTCCAAGCAGCTCAGTAAGGAATCACAGGACCTCTCCTCTCCACCTCCTCTCAAACGTCATATAGGACACAAACAGAGCTTCCCATAGTGTAATACCATTTATTTAAAGACACTCCATATAGCAAACTGTTTCCACTCACATGCGTTTTGTTAGTAAAATGCAGTCCTCCTCATTCCCTGGGTGCATTCACATGTAGATAGGGAAACCAATATGGTCGCTGTGCTCGGACATCCGTCCCCACGTGACCGGAAATGATGTGTCTCTGGGCTGGGAAAAACGTTCCGACGCGTTGCGTCACGTGCGTCGTGACTTCATCAGGGTACCGCCCCCCAGTGCCAGAATGTGTTTATATAGGGAATGGTCAAATTACCATTCCCAATAGGAGGGCGGGCTCTCCCGGCGGCCATTTTACCGGAGCCCATGAACCCGACCCAACTCGTGGGGGATAATCTAATCATACCTTCTCC